ATCTCTGTGCCCCCTGGTACAACAAGAGACAATAGTTATACATGCATGATTAACTGAGTACACGATAAGTACAGCTCACTACTCTCGTCGATACGGTTGTTAGACAATGTCAACGTTTATAAAAGATAAAATTTCTAAGAATCAGATTTTATGCTCATAACAAACTTAGACTGGAAGTGGGTACGGGTGGCTAAAATTAGGTATAAAAAGTTCGAACGAGGATGCAACGCATAGGAGTAAAGAATGATACCACTAGAAATTTCTTATTAGTCGGTATTAATTAAACCATGATTACACGGTCAAGGAAAGGTTAGAGTGTTAGTTACACTTGATGACGAACAAACGATAACGTCTGCTGAGCTTTTACGTTTACGAGAAATCTTAGTTTTTTGACAACCACTGAAAAATTGCAAGTACAGAAAATGAATTCACCTTTTCGGCGCTAACTTGGATTGTGTTACGGTCACCAAACGTTCGGACATTGTTCTCGGATTCCCATACAAATTCACTGAATTTAAAGAGAAAATTTAGGTACAAATTTCTTTTGGTAGCTCTCTTAACAGCAGTAAGAAAAGCTTCAATCTGAGCTAGAAAAATGATCTTTACTTGTATTTAGAGAATTAACTAAACGAACCAAGTAAATAGTTCATTTAAAGTCGGTACATTTGTACGGAAATTCAAGAACGATGTCCGAACGTTTTGGTGACAGTAACACAACCTAAAACAATTTATACTCCGTGACGGCTAGCGCCGAAAAGGTGAAATTGTGAAGATCGTCTGATCGAAGGAGGCAAACTGCGCATGCGTAGGCATCAGGTATACACCTTGACCTACCATAGAAGGTTTAGACTCAGCAGTCATTTTCTGTGGGAAAGAATATCGTCAAGATCATCGTCAATATACAGTTGGGAATAAAATATAGTCTTGTATTGGTTTTGTCTCGTCAACTAGCTACAGTAGCCCTGACTCAGAAAGATAACGCCTGTCAATGCAATCATCTTTCTTTTTTGAATTAGAAACAAAACGTGAAAGGAAAATATGAAAAGAATAAATTGAAATTRTCACTCATTAACTCCATAATATCTAGATATGGCCATCACGTCATTATTAGTAAAACTGAACGTTACCTTGATGGCGTCTGAAAGTTTTCTCATGCCAACTCTCTTTGGAAGATCGATATTGATGATTGACAGCTGCTTCTCTGAAATATTGCGCACTGATCCTGAAAGGTAGTTCATATTGATTGACATTAAAACTTTTAGCTTACATCGCTACCATCGTCCGCACCCCAATAAGCCTGAAGCGAGATGACGTTTTACCCCCGACTCTATACCATAAGAGTTTTTAAAATTCTTTCATATTAAAATTTTTGATTCCTTAGAGAATACAGGAACAATAGTCATAATTAAAGAACAAAAGCAATGTGAAAAGGAATATGGTCTAGAGACGGGGGTCAAACGTCATCTCGCTTCAGGCTTATTCAAACTAGTTGGGAAAGTCAGTTACAAAGGTCTTGAAGAAGAAACAATTTGCCGACAATTTTGCAGTTCGTGTAGGTGTAACCCTGGTGGGATTCATGAATTCAAAACTAGAACCAGTAATAAATGAAAGTGTGTTGTCATTATCAGTCATTATGTGTTTGTCTCATATTCGTTCTCAGAACCAGTAATCTTACCATCACTGATGCCAAACTCTTTTCCACTCAGGATGTGGTAGAGCAGTGTCTTCATTTCAAAAGGGCTGAGGTTCATGAAGTACTCAGCGGCATCTTCACCTGAGCGAAAGAAAGATCTTCAGATAAAATGTCAACAGATTTTTAAGTCATTGGACAATAAAGTGAACAAAGGTACCGCAATCGCTGTTTTCTGATTTCTGACCAAGTGTCATTCCCTTGAGTATTATTATTTTTGTTTACTAGTAATGCTTGAAAGCGAGAGGGGGAAATCACGAAGGGGTGATTCAGTGCTATATCCTCTTGCTGCATCAAAACCTCCATTACAAGACCATCTTTTAGCGGTCAACCTCCATTTTACGGGTATCAACAATTCCCCAAAGGTGGCCGCTGACCAGAAGTTTAACTGTAGAATGATGGTATAGTACCTGTGCAATCGAGAGATCTTGCTAGTTCAGCTACCATGACTTCAATAATAAGACCCACTCTCAACCTAAGCATTTCACTGAACAGCTTTGGGTCTGATTTTACAAAAATTGCAAGATACACTAGTAGTTCCTAGAAAAACAAAGACAAGACTATCATCACAAGAGAACATGAACTAAGAGAAGGAATCCCCGTGCCCCATCATGTGCACACTTTGATGCTATTTTTAGAATCTATTCTAAAAATATCATCCAATGATATCGTTTATTTGATCGTTTGATTTTTTGCACGCGCATAGTACGCGCGCGCTCTCTTGTGCTTTTCTTATGTTCAAATGCTGTTCGAATGTTCAAATCTACCCTCAAGATGACGATGTAGGTCGAAAGCTTTGGAAAATAAATGTAAAAATACTCCAGAAAGTTGAACAAATTACTACTTCAATTTCCTGTCGTATTTGCTAAGCTTTCGACGTGCAGATTCATATTCAGGGCAGAGTCGAAATAACGGAAAAACCCCAAAAACGTAAGCAAACATCGTAGAGCGCGCGCAGTAAATGCGCGTGCAGAAAAGCAAATGGTTTAAAAATAGCATCAAACTGTGCAAATGATGGTTACAAGGCTATATAGGGGGAATTCCTTCTCTTAGTTCATTTTCTCTTGATCATCATGTATCAACTGTAGGTTTGGTAATTTYCGTGGTTCTGGAGGCATCAGAAAGATGTGAGCAACCCTCTATAGACCCCTTCCAGCCCATAGCCACTCAATCAGAAGACAACACAATATTTTCAACTCATGAAAGTAAAATTTTATTATCGTTGAATGGTGTCCTTCAGTAGCATTATTTAAGTCCTAGTTGATTTCAAATGGGGGTTAACATGACCAATAGAGCTGTGCGAGCTACATACCTGTGTCAATACTCCTGTACTCATGTCTTCACCAAAAACTTTGTAAATGAGGTTTTTCAAATCAGTGGAAGGTAAGGGCCTGTTAAGGTATAACAAAAATCAACCGTAATTCACAATTCAAACTGGTTAGAGCTGTTCTCCGAGGTCATACATGTTCTATATAGCAGCTGCCAGAGGCGCCTTCACATGCTTTCAGTTCGACCCTTTTGAGCTGCGCCACTGCTGTACTTGCGGTGGTGATTAGTGATGACAAGTATACAGAAATATACTATCAACTCATGGCAAGGCAAGATTGCGCCATTACAAAATGAAGAAACCAATGGAGGAAAGGTAATAAAAAGCATTCCTACCTGGTAATGACCTCTTCTTGGCCATCCTGGGGTATTCCTATTGTTATTTGTTTCTGATGAACTAGTAAATCTGTACAACACTGCAACAACAATAAATAATAATGTTAAAATAGGTGTAACATTACTTGGATAACATTGCTAATAGAAGAGGATGTTGCATATCAACAATAACAGCGATGGTCTTTTAAAATGGTATGCTAATGGTAGTGATGAAAGTGATGAAAGTGATGGTAGTAAATGCACTGACAGTGATGACAGTGAAGGCAAGTATGCAATTGGCAACGAAGATGATGGTGATGACGGTGATTATAGTGACGGAGAAACCATTTAGCATAATAATAATAATGATTTGTGAATTGATATAGCACCTTTTCTATATGAATATAATCAAAGGCGCTTTACATTGAGCATGATGGTAATAAGAAATTTTAAACTAACCGGTCCAAGCAGCAAGTTCTTAAATGGTACACATCATTTTTTTAGAACTAGTTGATCAAGATCTAAAAACTAATAAGAACTGACATGTACCATTTGAGAACTGGCTGCTCAGACCAGTCGGTTAGACTTAATGGAAAGTTCCCAAATAATGATGTTAGTGATGGCAATAGTAATGATGTTGATGGTGACAATAATGTATCTATTTATGAAGAGCTTTCCATACATACATCTGCTAAGTCTTCAACTTCTTTATGCAATAACCCAGCAGTGTGCCTCACCAGAGACCACAGCTTGACTTCACATGCCTTTGAACCAAACAAATATATTCCTTCTTCAGCAAACTCATTCTAGTCCCACCCACAGAGATTACTGTAGATTAAATGATGCCAAACCTACTTTTTCATAAAGTTCCAGTAACAACTTTTGTACTGTGGCTCCTCTATCCCCGAATAAATTGGTATCAAAGTCTGGACCCCTGAGAAAATAAGGTCAAATAATTACAACAATTTTTAGACACTTATAGACAGATCAAAAAAATTCAAATGCATAAAGGAATAAACATTAAGTTGGTTTTTTTTTGCATACTTTGTGTTATACAGGAAGTGTAAAATGTCTGCTTGATCATTGATATTCACAGCCTCCTCTAGTTTCTGGATGTACTGCTTGGACTCCAGGTCAAGTGACATTGTCCGAGATCTTGCCGGGGACCAACCATTTGCTACTCTTTCTTCAAATGTTTCTTTTTTGGCTGCAAGAAAAAAGAACTAGTTAAATAGCTGTGAGGAATATTTGAGAGATGCTGTGAAACCCCATTGATAAAGATGGGAGTACTATTGCTTTCCCAGTCTCTTTACAATGGTATTCCCTCCTATTCTCTCCAACAGTGGCATAGTGAAAGGGATGGGAGGGTCACCCCACAAAGTTTTAGCTAACCCCATTGTTCATGAAGTTTTAGCCATTGTGACAAAGTAGGTTTTGGTGGACGTCAATCAATGTGTTTCCAAGACATTCCATAGGTACGTGCCCTTGAAAGCTTTGTGCTTTTCAACAATGCTGGGAAACACTTTGATTGATGTCCACTAAAACTCTTTGCTATTATGTCTCGGAAAAAAAATTTCACGATTTCGCACATGATTGAGAAGCACTGTAATAATAATTTGAAGAAACATAAAATGCAAAAGAATTAATAAATTTGTTTACGTAATATATCATATACGTATAATGTAATTAATGATTTAAAAGAAAGAAAATAACTAAAATAGCCTGAGTATCAGGCCTTCTGGGGTGCTTGGGGGGGGGGGGTTGGGCTTTCCGAGATGGACTGGGGAGAGGGGGAGAGAGAGGGGAAGGAATGCCTCCTCCTCCCCTCTCTCTCTCTTTCCCCCTCCGCCTCCCCCCCTCCCCTGAGAGAGCCTGATACTCAGGCTATAACTAAAAGAAAGAAAGAAAATCCTGAAGAACAGAACCATGCACAACAGCTCAAGTGTCCTCACTGTAAGAAAATGAAGGTTTTTAAGTGTTACATTATATGGTTAGTAATGTTAGTATGGTTATATTTTGTTAGGGTTAGCATCCTTAATCAAGTATTAATTTTTCTTTAATGTATACATTAAGCAAACAAATAAAATAAAATATGCTACTGATGATCAACACACACTTGTATACCTGGGGAGCACATGTGCTCTGTATCTGAATTTTTACTTGTAGTAGACCAACTGTATAAGTGAGCCCCTGTTGCCAATTGAAATGAGATACTGGATAATTATGATGATGATTGCATAAGCCAAACGTCAAGGTATGTATACTAGGTGTATGACAAGTACATGTACATTGGTGTATAGTGTATAATTACTATGAAAATGTCATAGATATGTATGCTGTACATGAGGGTTATATATAAGACTATATAAAATTATATGAATGAGTATAATATAACTTCTTCAAGTAAATATGTAAAAGACTTAAATTCGGCCCTGTCCCTGGACCAAACAGGTTAAAAACATGCCAGGGGTGCTTTAACTTTTAGATGTTTCATTAAAACTTCTGGAAACTTGTCAACTTTGTACCTATGAATTTGTTCTTTTTAATGTTATGGATTTTGACATTTTTGGTGGGGAAATGCCATCATTTCTATTATAATGTTATAAATGTATAATTTGTCTTCAACTTAATCTACATAATATTAAAATGTCAGCATCAGTTCTACACATTGGTGCTTATTTTGAAATTTTAATATTATATTATATTATGKTTTATGATTATTAATGAATGGTTTGTTACATACAACCCTCAAAAACAAACTCAACAGATTCAAGCTTTCAAGCAATGATTCATATCTCATTATACTGTTTATGTGTGAATTCAGAGCACAACTCTGTTCATTCAACAAAAATTAGGATTAAATTTTTTACCGTTTTTGAGAATTTCTGCCACACTTCTTCTTGCTGAATATATTTTAAGATAAAAACAAGATACTTAGATAACAATTCGCAAGTTTTTATCACTATAGCATTAGAATATTGGTTATGAAAGTGTTGGATCTATTGCTTAAGTGCCAACTCTAATATCTTTATCTTCAATTATAAATTATTTTAAATATATTATCATTTAAGACAGCTTATTAAGAGAAGTTAATAACATTAAATGAGCTTTATTTACTGAGGATAAAAGTTAGAGACTGCAACAGTTACAATAGAAGGAAATTTAGGGGTCTTTTGGCCCTTTTTTTGTGGGGGATGGGGGATGGGGGATGGTATTTTTTAATTTGTTTGATGTTATTAGTATTTTAATGCAAATGTAGTATTATTCAAGACTGAAAAGTTAACCAGCTTATAAAATGTTAAATAAACTTATATTTTACAACCACGACTCCCCATAGAGGGCTCTTCCATGAGGTTCCATCTACTACCACTACATTCTATATGTACAACATACATGACTCAACTCACATTTTGATTTTTGTGGAGGGAGGAAACCGGAGAACCCGGAGAAAACCCTTGTGGCAAGGAGAGAACAACACATCAAACAAACTCAACTCACATATGATCCAGCATAAGCCAAGGCTTGAACTGGGAGCACATCATCGAGAGGTGAGCGGTAAGCCACTACACCACCCATAATAACTAGGATGAAAATTGTATGAACTTACATGGTGCTCCCATAACCATATTGTCTTTGTCACAATAAATAGAGATGCTTCTGCTTCTCTTGATTGAACCAGAGACATCAGAAAATCTAGGTCCTTCTGGTGTGGAACTATTGAAGGAACGGGTCTAGAAAAACATGTCCATAGAGCTTGGTTAAGAGGAAGGCAGCTTTATTATCATTGCAAATTTTTAAATATAGGTGCTTCTAGTCCACACAATCCTTTTGCATCCATCTTATTTATGATTATTGTAGGTCCTGCAAATTCATATGTAGCCTGCATTATATATCCCACTCTATAGTGAGAAAGAAATCCATTTTCTTTGGAAAAGAGAATTTTTTAATTTATCATAGTTATAATTGTTATTTGGGTATAAAATACCAATATTTCACAAACCAATTCTTACCCTATCTCGAGACTGGCTTCGTCTCAAAAAGTCTTTTGACATTGAAGGATTTCTTTGCAGGCTTTTGATGTCTAAAAACAGTTGGAAGATCAGGGGGAAAATCAACAGTTGCATAGGGTTTCTTTTTCACTTAATTTAGTACTTTAAATTACCTATTTCTCTATAGTCTCTTGCAAAATGAAGTGTTGTTATACAGGATGTACTCATAAAATCTTGCAGGTATCCCAAACGTACCCTAGCCACGTATAAGAAAAATTGACTGTTTTATTAGAAATAAAAAGGAAAAACAGAACAGATAGAAAAAAAAAGACATTTTTATTACATACCGTACTCCTGATAGGTAGCCTCCTTGGAGTCTCACAATAAGCTTTGCCATACAGGATGTCGTCGATAGCTCTTCTGTTATGAGTATTAAGAAGACAAGGAATGTTGAGTTGTACAAATCAAGCTGTTATTCATATCATGTACTATTTTATTACGATAAATCATTTTTCAGATGAAAACAGGATGAATGGATGATAAGATAAATGAATGGTTCTATAAATGAAAAAATGGAGGAAATGGGACAAGAGAGATGCAAGAAAAATGGGATCAATAGATTGGATGGGAAAAATGGGAAATGTGATAGCAATTGATGGAAGTGATGAATGGAATGGGTGGGATAAACTGATTACTAACTGTAATAGGATGGGATGGGATGGTTAGGATGAAGAATGAATGGAGGAAAAACCACAAATGGATGAGACGTGCTACTTAAAAGGAAAGAAGAAAGATAAATTGAATACTTAAAATGTATTTACCCATCATAGAGTTTGTAATAATCAGTGTTAGTGTAGGTCTTCCAAGCAATCTCCAATTTGCACCTAGGTATCCCACTAGAGATTTCAGCCTGTCCACCAGGAATTCATTGTCCAAACACAGATAAAACTGGTGGTAGTCCAAGAACTGGAATTGAGAATGTAAAATGAAACACTTATTCTACTGTGCTTTTCCTACTATGCAGAAACATCTTACAGCATTTGTTTTTAACTTACAGTAGCATTTCATGATAAATATTTTTTACCATATAAACAATATCTATACAACCATTACAGGGAAGGATTGGCATTTTAAGAGCTTCAAACATGCTTCAAACAAGATGCAAGATGAAACAACCCCTCAGATGTGGCTATTTTCATTAGTTAAAACAAGGCAAGACTTACTTGTGGAGTGAACACAAACAGACCATTTCCTACCCTGTACAAGGTACTTGAAGCAAGGGCACCAATGTTGTAGACTGTCCTTTGGTGATTAAAGCAAACAAACATCAACCAAAATCACCTTAGTTCTTTATTAATCTGCTAACAATACTATGTCAATATATTTACCAATACTTCAATAGTTATACAATCAATACCTTCCTTTCATATTCAGCTGAGAACATTTTCCTAAAGAAATATTAAATACAATAAATTACTAAATAAATTTTATGGGTTTAATTCACGATCTGGAATTGACCTTATATTTTTTATTGAGAATATGATTATTTGTTTAAACTGTATCCACATTCATGTATTTTATTTTGACCAACTGTTAAAATATTCTGTAAGGAATTACACATGAAATGGGAAAACATTATACCCAAGCTAAAGTGGTCAACATGTAATCAGGTGTAAATGTAATCTATGCTACAGACCTAATTTATTGAGTGGTGCAATGTTTTCCCATTTTGGGACAGGTCATTCCCTTGAGAAAAAAGTTTTGTTTGAGTTGTGTCCATATTCAGGCGTCTTAATGCAACAACCTTAAACATAGAAATGATACTCTGGGGAGTGTGGTCTGTAATGGGATAACATTGCTGCATCACAATGAATAAGGTCTCTTGCAACTGACTTTTTGTCATTACAGAAAGGTTCCAAGCAATACTATATTCAACTCACTAGATTTACAACTTAATATAATCATTTACTTTATACAGTATTCAAGTATATTTTAGCTTACCTAACTGTTGATATATCTGCCCTAGAACATGTGCAGGAAGGATCTGGATAGGTTGTACTTCTCTGATTAGCTGTACAGGTACTTCAAGCTCAACAAGGAGCTCACGGATTGCCTCATCTTCAGCTAAAAGTGCCACTAAAATGATATTTGAGTGAAAAAAAAGAAAGGTATAGAGGGTTTTACAAAGCCATGCTATGGGGCAAAATAACAGGAGCTTTTGTCCTTTGCAGAATGAATTCTCCTAGTATTCATATGTGCAAAGCTGGATGTCAAGATTCTCCAACGCTGATTCACTCATCTATTCATAACATTCTTTCACAGCTATTAACACTTTGATTATTATCAAACACTTGTTTGCATGTTGGATCTTACAGTACCTTGTACCACTACATCTGGACGATTCTCTGTAGAGTGTCGTCTATTTAGTGGATCCAGCTCCCCAAGAGCTATAAATTTCTGATAAAAAAAGGCATACATTCAGCTTTAGTTTAGTTATTTTTGATGTCAATAAAAAATTTATGACAATTATTATTATTATCTTTTTATTGATGTTACAATAGATATGCCTGCTTCGCACACTATTAACTTTCTGATGAAGGGTACCACAAGAGTAAATGAAATGTCATGCCTTATAAAGTTCAAACTTGTAAAAAAAGAGAATTGTCTAGGAATTTAGGGAAAAATTAAAAATTAAAAATTAAATAATAAATATGTAATGGGATTAAACAGTGGATTCTACAGGGTGGCTCTTCTTCCACTGGATTCAAATTGGAATTTAGAAGTTGATTTTTACTGAGTAAGAAAAACCCTCAAGCACAGGAGAAAACCCTCAAGCACAGAGAAAAACCCTCAARCACAGGAGAAAACCAACAAGCACAGAGAAAAACCCTCAAGCACAGAGAAAAACCCTCAAGCACAGAGAAAAACCCTCAAGCACAGAGAAAAACCCTCAAGCACAGAGAAAANAACCCTCAAGCACAGAGAAAAACCCTCAAGCACAGAGAAAAACCCTCAAGCACAGAGAAAAACCCTCAAGCACAGAGAAAAACCCTCAAGCACAGGAGAAAACCAACAAGCAACTCTACTCACATACGACATCCAGCCCAGCAGGACTTGAACCCAGGTTGCATTAGTGAGAGGCGAGCGCTCTCACCCCTATGCCACCTGTGTTTCCAAAACTCCATTCTGATGATATTTTCTTACCTCTTGTAACAGGGATGCTACGATATACAGTGACTGGGACCACATGTGAGGAGCAAACTCACCACGTGTTCTTTCAACACTATGGGGATTAGCTTTTTCTTCTGCAACCTATTAAAATATACATGAATATAATATGACAATGCACTGCATACCGACTGAAAGCTGGAATTGATGCCTGTATGATGAGGAGTCTATTAACATTGCTGTCGGCTCGTTATTACCTTATCTTTTGGGACATAGTAGAGTTCAGGTACCAGGATGAGGCCTGATTCATCTTTGAATAACAACTCGTCAAGCAAAGCACTGTACTTCTTACTCTAAAAGGTAACAAAGAAAGTCTGTCATTGTTGGTAAAATTGATATCTCTTTTGATTTCCATGTTTTTCTTAACTTTGTTTTTCCTTTGAATTCATTTCTTTTCCTTTTCGTTCCTTTTCCTTGCTTTCCTTTCCACTCCCTTGATTTCCTTTGCTTTCCTTCAATTTCATTTTTTCCCTTCCTTTCTTTTGTTCATTCCTTCTTCCTCCATTTTTTTCTTTGTCTTTATTTTTACAAGGTTACAGTACCTTTCTAAACTTAGACATGATGATTAAACTTTATTTCAAAATTTATAACATATATTTCAAAATAGAAAGAAAAAAAATTCCAACAGGATCAAAAGTTTAACTCTTGTTACTTTCTTATTGTTATTGTATTTTTCAAAAAAATTCATAACATTTTGGCAAAGGAATGAAAATCCTAGATTAGCATTTAATCCTGGATTATGACTAATCGGCTTAAGAGAACATTCTTCTTAGCTCAAGGGACCTCTTTGTACTTGAATTAGGTATGAACATATAATTCTTTTAAATCTAAGTGTTTAGTCATTCGAGTGCTTTTGCACGGATTGGGGACATTCTTTCATTCACATTACTTAATTACTACATTAAATTAATGTCCTATGCACAAGGCACTTAATTCATATGTTTTAATGAGGAAGAAAACAGGAAAACCTGGAGAAAACCCTTGTTGCATTGGAGAGAACAACACATCAAACAAGCTCAACTTAAATACTAGTTTGGGGATGAACGGACTAAAAAGTAAGCCTCAATAAGACTATGACTAAGGTATCTAGACTAGAAAAGATTTCCCCATTAAAAAATGAATATAACATCCTGAAATTCATTAAAAAATCTAAATGGATAGGGGGGAGAAATGAATGGAAAAATGGAAAGAAAGAAAAATTAAAAACCATTAACATAATAATATCATGCTTAATCAGTATGTCATGAAAGGTTTCTATGTTACCATAGTGACAAAGTTCAACCTTTTCCATAGATTATTAATGAGTACCAGCCAGCTTATATAAAAGGCACATAATGCAATTACAATTATTATCAAATAAGCTAATAATTATTTGATAAAATCCCAACAGAATAACAGAATTTAAATGTTCTTAATATGAGTCCTCATCCATAAAAGGCACTTATTAAACTGTCATTTCATTTTCTATTGAAATGTAGAAAAAGAATATTGAAAGACAAATAAATTCATTGAAAAGAAGCAATTTTTGAATTAATTTTGACAGTTTGAAGACTCATTTATCTTCAAATGGATAGGTTTGACAAAGGATTTTAAGTTATCACAATTTTCTGCCATAACAACAAAGTTTTGGATTTAAAAAATATATAAATTATGTTTTTACTTGTTTGTAATTTATATATAATATAGATATACCAGTAATTAATTACAGGTGGCTGTAATACTGTCATACCAGGGGGTAAATACTTAAATAGATTTAATGAATTCTAATAAAAGCTCAAAAAATTTCAAAACTCCAATAATTATTCCAAGAAAAACAAAATCATAAGCTTTATGCAATGGATGTGCTAAATTGACCTTGGGAAAATAATTATAGTATAAAGATATTATTATTTACATAGAATAGGCTTTGATCATCAATGATATTCTCGTTTCAATTTTTTTAAATATTTTCAAAATGTTTTGGAGGAGAATTTAGAAATTCATCRATGGAAAGGGCTTAGATCCCACTTGCAACCAGTTCTAGTTAAGGTAATTAGCATATCATGGGAACCCTTAAACAAACAGAATTCTACTGTAGCTCAGGAGCATGTGCTCTTCAAGGTCAATCACTTGTGTTGGATTTGGGTAATAAGCTTTATACTATCAATACCCAGATACATGAGGAATTCAAAACTGTCAACTGAAGAGCTGTTTGCATAAAGATAAATGCCCATCAAGTAAAGTCACTTATAAAGTAGCCACTTATTTGACACTTGAGCTTCAGCTCATGAATATTGATGTATTCACATACCAGCAATGCTAAGCAATAATAAAAGATGCTTACAAGAAACCAAGCATAGGAGCACAGAGGTTGCTTTTCATAGCCAATGATTTGTGATGTCAAGTCTACAAGATTGTATGCTCTTAGTTCTGTGTGAAGTGCCCCATAAGAGCACAGTCAAAGCTGCCAATGAATAATAACAAACAAGATAAGATGATCCAGGTTTCACTACCAATCATACAAGTACAAGAAAGTTCGGAGAGCAGGCGCATGGCCTTAACTACCATCACCCCTACACACTTCTCTATATTCCAACTCAACAAGTTAGAAGAAATTTTCTCTTATCAAAAATGGCCGGATAAGACAAGGATTGATGTTATTGCAATGGAATGTAATTTACTGAAAGAAGATGTTGAGGCAAGTACAACTATCCTAGCTTGAATCAATAATTAAAATTACATAAAATTATTTTCTTTAAAAAATTACAGAACCATTTAACTTATCTGACAAGCATCACAGCTAACATTTTTCTAGGAATGTAAGGAATTTACCCTTAACTCACAAAACATGTGAAAACAAAGTTTAATTTAAAGGAAATAAAAATTTAATCATCTAAGTATGTTGCTATAAATGTACTTGTGAAACATAATACCATTCAGTATAGTAACGAAAAAATGTGTTACAGTATGTATGCAGCATGCAATATATAATGATACTGTATTAGTAGAGGCATTCATTAATATCCATAATCCAAATTTGTGCACAAACAACTAAGCATTTAACAGAGAAATGGGAATGGTTTAAAGAACCCTGAAAACCTTAACAAAATTATGTGTCATTTTATTAAATGTGAATGTAAAAATAATAGCAGACAACAACAACCTGTACCACTCTCTTATAGGATTTACAACATTTGTTTTTTATATATACAAATATATAGATAATTTATAAATAAATCTAAATAGTATAAAAACACAGTTATTTATAGTATATATACTAAGGCAGATAAATGAAAAGATGGTACAGGTTGTCTGTAATAACCACAAGACTAAGTAAAAACAGACAGCCAACAGACACTGTCCCCACAGACAATTCCAGTACCACTGCTTTCAAGCTCCTTATCATTTCACTATTTTGATTAAACAAAGAATTTAACAAAGAATATCAAGAATTGCATTGTTGCAGTTTTAGATTTAATAATATAATCAGGGATATTAATTACTTTATTTTAATTCTCTAACAGGATTGGTTTCTTGCCCGAAGAGTAGAGTGGATGAGAATAATTATGGAATTAGCAGCAAAGAATACGAAACAGGAATCAAACAAGTGAACATTATCCAGATATTAAGAAGAAGTTGAAGAGGAAGCTAAAGTTTTTATATTCTCTATCAAAAACTCATTAAGCTAAACATAAGGTCTATTTAGTTACCAAATGATCCAAATTATTTGTGACATAAGAAAGTTAAAAAGTTAAACCAGTGGGATAGAATGTAAAGAAAAGATAACTGCAGAAAATAGAGTCTACTGACAACAAACCTGTTCTGGTCGGTCCAGGTAAAGGCCATCTAGGATAAGATAAGTGTAAAAAAGTGGCCATTCACATTCAAGATGCTGAAATATCTCAAGCTCTGCAGGTTCATAGTGCAACCTGAATGGATCCTGAAAACAATTCAATGATGCACAGAAAAATTAGCTAATAATCATAATTGATGATGGTGGATAGAGATAATGATGGTTCCAATGATGACGATGAAAATTTTAGTACCCTTCACAGTTTCATGCACCATTTCGAAAGGTAACCGTGCCTGTGCATTGAAACGAGAATGGTGATGACCTTGCAATGATAGAGACCTTTTTTAATGCCTTGGTAAATTATCACGTCTAGTATTACAAGGTCACTGCCATTCTCAGTTCGATGCATGGTTATCTATCAAGATGGTGCAGGGAACTTTGAAGGAGACTATTTAAAAGATGCTACATGCTTGTAATTTATTATTTCAATTACCATGACAAGCAAGTTAGATCTAACATACCTCAACAGGTGTCTTATACCCATCTCTTAGAAATCTACAGAGGCCATATTTACCCTGTGAACAACAATACAGTGGACTGTGTCATTTAATATTGGTATTTATGTAAAAAAATAATCTTTAACAGATCAATTCTGGCCCAAGATTTTGAATTTAAGAGACTAGAAAAAGGAAGAGAAATATGTACATATACTCTTGGCTGGCAGCCAAGTTGGATAACATAACAAAAGAGAACTCTGGCATTCAGCAAGTTAATGGTGTCGCATGAAATCAAAACATTTTTGATGATAAACTAATTTGAACATCTCAGAACTTTACCTGCAGCTTGTCGATAATTTCATCTCTCGTTAAATCAACAATGTCCTTATCTTCTATTGCAAATGCTGGGAAGCTGATGACACTTAATAAAGAAGCAGCTGTTTCCTGTTATACAATTGCAGAATAAAAACTTGAGCCAAGATGGTGCTAAATCTTTCATTCTATTCTTTCACTCTTTCATTCCTACTGGCTAATGATAGCAAGGGAATATCCACTCCGCAATAGCCTTGAAAATTCATCCCTCCCTCTAATTTCTCATCCTCCCAACGGACAATTAAACTAACAATGGGTACAGAGTGAGAGTAATTAGTACCCTAGGACCTCCTGGACACACCCTTGGATAAGGGTAAAATTTATCAGAGACTAGTGAAACAGGAAGTAGTTTTTCTCAATAAGGTACCAATATATAATGCTAAACTCACTTTTGAATTAGATTCCCTTGGCAACATGGACTGTAGAACAGCCTGTAGGAAAAATAAATGAAATATATATATTTCAATACAAAATGAATTTGATATCCTTATTAACTTGAATTGTTACTTTTTTGAATTGTTACTTTGACTGATGGTACTGTAGGCAAAACAAAACCACCAAATCTGTAGATGTTAGGGATGTTTTGATCATGTAATTATGGGTAAGAAATATTCATTATTTTCATACATAGAAGACAAACCTTGCATTTCTGTATGTCATCAGGCAGAACATGAATGACAGATGCTTGGCTTCCTTCTGGACCAAAAAGATCCAACCCATTTAGAGACTCAAGTGCAGCCTAGAAAATATGATCAAAAAGTGTTCATAGCTGCATTCTTCCAAAACATTTTTCTTTAAATAAATTTTGTCTGAAAAAAATCATGGTGTAGATTCATCAAAAACTACAATCATTAACTTATTGACAGTACTTAGTTAGCATGAAGTCTGAATACCAGAGACATTTTTGAACGTAACCAAAAAGCATGAATCCAGTCAGTCTTCAGAGGGATTGATCCATAATGACATGGATGAATAATAATTAATATTATCAATTGCCCTTGCACCAATCCTACATTGCCTCCAAAATTATTATCTTACATACCTTAGCCATTCCGATTGAGCTTGCATTCAGTTCAGGCATACCATGATTCAGTTTATCTCCTCTTTCCCAAATCCCATAATCCTAAATAAAAAGGAGTACTGGTACATTAAAATGAATAAACTGTAGCTAATACACATGATCATTGATCAGTCAGAGGTTGAGGAAAAAACTGGGCAGTTGGCAAGTTGGCATTGCAGAACATTGTGGGGTTGTCTTAGTGGCATATTTCTAAGATAGCATGCATTTTGTCCCCTAAAACAGTTGCAAAATGCAATGCCATGTCAACTCTAGTCAGTTTTTTCATCAATATTGGAATGGTTAATATGCACCTTATGGTGAGAGATATTTAGGGTGCTTCCCATTAAGTCGAACTGAGCAGTCCATGCGGCCAGCTCTCAAATGGTACATATTTTCAGTTCTTATTAGTTTTTATAACTCAGTCAACCATTTCTTTAGAACTGACGCATGCCATTTGATTTGAGAACTGGACGCTCGGACTGGTCAGTTCAACTGAATGGAAAGTGTCCTTAGATAAACACCTGACATACTTACTGGTATTGAATGGGCTTTTTCAATGTAAAACACAAGGTTCTGTATAAATGCCACTTCGTCTACAGTGAAAATTATCTGAATACCTAGTATTCAAACATAGAAACAAAGGAAACAAGTAATTTATCAGTTGTCAACAATCTTAAACAACATTCAATGTCCAAGCAAAAAGTGCTACAGTAATCTTTGACCATAGTCTCATTTGTGAATTGCTTTGAACGTAAATCATTTGCAACACTTGACTACAATGGAAAAACTTGACCAATACAAATGTTATAAAGGTTAAACCTGAATGTAAGCTGGTAGCACACAAATATTTATATCTGTAGACATCAAAAACAGTTGTATGAAAGACATTTACCAGAGGCAGTCATCTGTGCTAGCATGAGAAGGTAAAGTGACGTAGCATCAATTTGAAGGTGACCCCAGTCATGATCACTAACACAGGTTTCACCAGTTGCTGAAGAAAAAAGAAAACATTTACAATCAATTACACCCTACAATTCAATATAATGCTTTACTAAACAAACTAACTCAAAAGTTTCTATCATTCTCCTACATTTTATTAATAGAAAATTAATAAATTCAAAAACTACTGCACACTCTTACTCATGTCATATTTGGCATGGAGTGAGTCATTTCTGCCCTGAGTTGTCTTGAAACTCTCCACTTTATCGGCCTGTCTCATCATACATGACAACAAACCTCGCATCAGCTTAACCACAGCCTAAAAAGTAAACAGCAGATTGACTTTTCAAATAATAATAACATACTGGAAGACCCTTTTTGTTTGAAAGTATGTTGACCCTTCTTCTAGGTAAGGAATATTGTCCTGCAAACCAACACTTGTTGTCTTAAAATAAAAGAGTGAAAATTGGTGCTTTTTCATCCAACATCTGTAAATGGTTAGGTTTAATAATAGCAAGTCCTTTAGGCCTAGGGCTAACGTCGAACTTTCCATGCACCGAACTCATTAAAAACAATGGATATCAGGTGATAATGAGGCAGCATTCTTTGATGTAATTAAGTTAGGTGCATGGAAAGTTCGACGTTTGCCCTAGGTCTTAGAGATTCAGTATTAAATGGACTCTATAATGTGTAGCAGATATAATGGTTTCCCACATTTTACAATTTCCTGGACCTATGACCTACAAGTATTATCTTCTTGACRTTAGTTTTGATTAAAAGGCTTTTACCTGAGTTAGTTCATAAGCTTTGGCACGATCTTCATCCATGTCAGCATTCTTGCGGTAGGCCAGTGCAAGAGCCCACACTGCAAGAATGCTATAGACATTGTCACGCACCCATGCATGTTTAGGATGCTTCCCTGAAAAGTGATCTTCACTGTTCCATTTTATACGTGGAGGTAGGAGACCAGTAACTGGGTCCTGAAAGAAAACACAAGTTGTTAGAAAGTAAGTCTTACATGGGGCTTACGAATGTGGGTTACACAAAAAAGTACACTCTGGGAATATCTTCGATTCAAAAAATGGCAAGCGCCTATCCAGGAATCTGAGAAAGTGGGGCTGGGGGAAAAGATATTTGGGGTTTCACTCATCTCACAGCTGACTAATTAATGACTAAAATGAAACCAGAGATGGTCTGGTAGAATGCTCCCAATAAAATTCTCAAAATTTAGTCTCCAAAAATTATATTTCCTGTGTTCCGGGGATATTTTGGAAGGAACAGGGATTAATGAATCCCAAAATAAAAGAAAGAGCAGTGTCCCCATTAGCCCCCTAACTTATGGATGGTATTTATGCAAAGATGCATGTTAATAATAGGAAAGATCCTTCTATAGTCATTTTCTGAGTTACCAGTATACAAGCAACTATATAGTAATTAAGAGAGCATAGATGAAACCTGTGCCTGCCATAACCATCATTTTGGTATAAGTTTATGTCCAAATGTTTTGAAAAGGAGATGATTGTGCCTAAGTGGGGTGCAACTTGTTTGTTTATGGTAAGAAATATATATGGACAAGAAAAGTAAATATAACAACTGCATACTATTTAAACTACATTTAACAGCAAATTTCTTTATTGTAAATACCTAGTTAATCAAGCATAATTTACATATGGTCAATTATATTTTGCAAAATGTTTATAAGATCAGCAGCAGCTTTAAACAATGCCTCTTTACAGAACTAAATATATGACGCCATTATTAATAACTGAGGAATAAATATAAGTAATTTAAGTTCGTCCAGTTAAACAGGAAACGAAATAATAATTTGATAATAATTTAAATGAAAACGTCTGAAAAAATATAGCTTCCATCATAGGAAGCTTCTGCATGTCAAGTTAAACTTGACAGCATTTTTGCTCGTCCACCCTAAATTAAATAATAAAAAGCTTCGTTGCCTCCTACGAATTGTTTGTTATCTATTACAAGAAAAGTTTCTTTTATTCTCAAATAAAATTCCTTTTCTAATGCATATTTGTAAATACGATTTCGTCAACACTAGAGATACGTTTTGACACAGGAAAACTTTTAGCTGAGATGGGTCAAATATTCCCACTACCTCACCTGGAAATCTAGGATGGTACGGGTTACAAGATGATGATACCAGTCTAGGCGTACTATGGAGTTACTTCTCGTCCTCATCGCGGGATTTCCTTCGAAGGAAACCAATGGTTTAATGGACTAATAACAAAAACTATCGCCATTTTTTCTCTTCGTCCATCTTCTACTCATTGGCCGAGCAATCTAAAGCAGGAAACTGGTACCAGCTCATTATGCATAATCAATATCCCGGATGAGCATTCGCGTTTTACTATTTCGCGCGCGCGGGAAATTTGTAAAACTCGGTTGACTCATCTTTTTACTTCTTCTTTTTATCCGGCTTTCTGGTAGGGCTTTATATTCTTTGATATTTTCGTTCAACTACAGGGAGATTCTTGGAGTTCAAGAATGTTGAGTCCAATGTCATCGACTTTGCTGAAACTAGAGCAAGAAAATTACACTGCTGAAGGTTTCAATGACGAGTTAATCAAGGTATTATGACTTAAACCGAAGAAGGTTTGCTTTGATAATTATCTTTAAATATTAAAAGCCTTCTTGATATTTTAATCCTCTCCTTATAGGAACTTGAGGCCTTGGACATCTCTGGATCCACAAGAGAAGTACACAAACTTAGTGAATAATGGGGGAAATTTAATACGAAGTGTGAAATTTCTAAGTCTAATAATTTTGTTTTTCTTTGCCATTTTAACTTTTAGGATCGATTTGTTATTCATAAAGTTTATTTCGAAGCTTTTATCAATAACCAGTCCATATTTAAAGACCTTCTGAATGAAATCAAAGTGAGCAAAGTTTTAATAGTTTTTTGATTTATTGGTTTTTGTTTTTGTTGTAGACGTTGTTGCTGCTCCGGTTAATTTTGTCGTTATCGTTGTTGTTCCTCTTGTTATTGTTGCTGTTGCTATCTGCTGTCGTTCAGTATTGGTTTTGTTGCTTCCGCTGTTATCGTTATTGTTGCTGTTGTCATGTTGTTGCTATAGTGCAGTTGTTATTATTAATGCCACCAGATGTATTGTTTTTGGTGAAGTTGTTGCTGTTGTTGCTTTTTGCTTCTGCTCTTTTGGTTCAGTTGTTTGCTGCTTCTGCTTTCGTTGCTGTCTTCGTCGTCGTCTTCGTGGTCGCTTGTAACTGTTGTTTCATTTTCCCAGTTCTTTACCATAAATTTATTTTTATTTTTCTTCCCTATATATAGAATGAATACGAAGAATGCATTAATACCATTTTAAGAGGCAAGAGGGAGTTGCTCTTTGTAGTGAGCAAGCTTGCACAAACAGTTGGAGCAATGCCTACCTTAAGGTAACAGACCCAGGAAAACTGATTTCTTATCGATTTTATAATACCCAATATTGTCTTTACCATGTCTACAATGTGCCACCAAAATAGACATTACAAGAATAGACGAGAAGACCTCCAGAATAAAACATTATTGCTGCAACAAGACAACAAAAGGTATATGACTAGACGTTGTAAAAGACTGAATACTAACTGAATACTGGTTATAACATCCCCACCCCCACCCCCCTTGGTTATAAGCCCACCCCAAATATCCTTTTATGAGCCCAATCTCTCCGCTGGTATTTCGTGTCTATTTCTTCGATAAACGAAAAAGATATCTTTTACCCCTAAGCTTATTAAAGCTTTGATTATTTTCCAGGATCGTTGAAAAAATCAAGGCCATCCGGTACGTATTATGAAATACAACAAGACAGACCGCCCCGAATGTTTTGTAGGTGATCAGTAATTTCTTGCACACCTAAACGCACGCACCGACACAGCTCATTAAGGGATGTGTCAAGAAAAAACTGAGATGCATTTCAGGATATTGCCTTTCTTCATACTAACTTGAACCTAACCTAAACTAACCAAACCTCTTGTGTTTCAAATTGATTTTTTTTTTTTTTTAAGCCAACGACAAAAAGAACTAATCGTTGATGACGCTCCATTGGAAGGTAATATGTATTCTGATGTTATGATAATATCGCTATTAAGGTTGTTGTTATTGTTGTTGTTGTTGAGGAGATAACAGAAAATCACTGGGCTCATTTGTTCAAAAAAAGACTGATAAACGTTTACCCAACGTTTTTCTTTCCCAGATACCTCAGAAACTTTAAAACTTTATCGCCAAAATGTTCCGCAAATACCTGATCTTACTATCGAAGAACAATTGCATATCCCAACGCTCAAGAAAAAAGTAAGCATCATCAATAACGTGCATTAATATAATATAATTTTGTTTCCCAACTGAAGCTTTAGAGAACATGTAACCTTTTAACCATCTTTTAGCTTGTTTCTGTTTCACAAAAACTGTCGAAATTTAAGGAGGATCATAAGAGAAGGTATGCAAAATTTTGGTAAAATTGTTGTAAAAAGTTGTTGGTAAAAAGCTCAGTTCAGTTTTACTATGAATTCACTAAGTGGATATGGTATGAATAAAGTTATTGAAACTATTGAAACTGCGTCCGCATCATAGGTATCACCTTAAGATATCACAGCAAAACCTTCTGGATCGACTTCTTCAAAAGGAGGTAACTAACCATTGGTATCACTTTGATACCATCGCACTTGTGTGCTCCTGCTAATGAAATACTAATCAGTTTTCTAATTATAGTTTCATGTGTACTAGATCTCTCTTTCCTTTAAATTTTATTCTTTTTCTAAATGAACTTTTTTTAGTATTGTTAAAACTTTTTTACGCGGTGTTTAAATTTTCTTCTGAGTGATTTTTTAATTTTCATTTCGTTACCAGGAAATAAAGAACAATTTAGAACAAGAGACTAAGTCCTTAGAATTGAAACTTTGTACATTAAACGTTTCCTTTTCAGAAGCAGTAAGTATCTTTTGCTTGACAAATTAATATTTACAGTTTACACTTAACGACACATATGTTACTGACTCTCCTTGCAGCTCGAGAAGATTGGCAAGAAAAAAGATGCCACAGATATCTCGGAGAAAATTGCAAATGTCTTGGAGCTATTGAGAGATGACTTTGTTGACCTGCCAAGTAAGAAACACTTTTTTGAGTTCTGAAACAATACGGAAAGCTAACGACAAGTAGGAAGGGAGGCTAACGACAAGGAGGAAGGAAGGAAGGAAAGGAAGAAGAAAGAAAAAAAGAATGTTTGCGGATTTATTGAATATATATAGGAATGCATAGGTTGCTTAAAATAGTATCATTATTTTCAGTAGTACTAATACTTGGACGCCTGTCATCTTAGATGACAGTTCCTTCATGACTCGCTCCAAAGACGTTGGGCGTTGTCGTCAGGTACTGAATTGTGGTTTTCTTTTAATAATTTATCAGCAATGAGAGATGAAGAGAAAACAGAAGGTAGTGAAACTACTGTATATCCTATGGATGACAACCATTCTTCACCAAACACAAGCTCCTCTGAAACAGAKGTAAGAAATAATATTGACCTTACTTTAATAGTAAAAAAAAACCCTAAGAAGCGACTGGTGACTTTGGCAAGTTTGAATGACATTAATCATCAATTTAAACATTACAAACTTCAATTGATTGGATACGTGAGTCTTTTCACGAAACATTCAGGGAATAACTCTATCTTTTGATTAATCTGCGGGTCAAGTTTAATTCGACGTTCTGTAGTGTTTCAAGAGGGAAAATGCCGCGGGGAAAATAGCTACCGGCAATGACCTAAAGCACGATCGGTACGAAATACCACAGTCATGATAATGGAATTCCAGAATGAGGCGACATCATCCAGATCTTACTATACCATACAAGCCAAATTCAAACCGTGTAATGAGATGCAAATTAGGCTCTACAAAAAACTTTCCTTGGAAAAACTCAAAACCCAACTTAATAAAATCCTAAATTGAAGAATCTAAAACTTACATCGATCAGGTTTCATCGGGATTTTGTTGCTGAAATACCAAACAACAATTCTAGCTTTCGGCAAGAGCATTTCTGTAATTTTTTCCCATGTAAAAATACGCTTTTTAGTAAGCATTTTTTAAAAACACTTGTATATCAAACATGGTTGTTCATATTCAGGGATTAAATTCTCTTCGAATTTCGAAAATATCAATTAGGTTTCATCGGGAAATGTTTGTTTGATTATTAAACTTTTTTTCATAGATACATTTTAGTATCATTTTATAAATACATCTCAGGTAAAAATGACATTTTTATAACCCATGTTGAAAACCTTGACTTTTGCATATTTAGCGCCTCTACGGCTTCACAGTAGAAAGCGCGTGAACTAGCCATAACCGACCGTCCTCTTGAAGCGTGTGAACTAGTGGTAACCGACCGTCCTTTTTGAAGCGTGTGAACTAGTGCTAACCGACCGTCCTTTTGAAGCGTGTGAACTAGTGGTAACCGACCGTCCTTTTTGAAGCGTGTGAACTAGTGATAACCGACCGTCCTTTTCAAGCGTGTGAACTAGTGTTAACCGACCGTAGTTTTCAAGCATGTGAACTAGTGCCAACCGACCGTCCTTTTCAAGCGTGTGAACTGGTGCTAACCGACCGTCCTTTTGAAGCGTTTGAACTGGTGCTAACCGACCGTCCTTTTGAAGCGTGTCATTATGACTAGAGATTACCGACCGTCCTTTTGAAGCGTGTGAACTAGTGATTACCGACCGTCCTTTTGAAGCGTGAGAACTAGTGGTAACAGACCGTCCTTTTTGAAGCGTGTGAACTAGTGATAACCGACCGTCCTTTTCAAGCGTGTGAACTAGTGTTAACCGACCGTACTTTTGAAGCGTGTGAACTGGTGCTAACCGACCGTCCTTTTGAAGCGTGTCATTATGACTGGAGATTACCGACCTAGTGTTAACCGACCGTACTTTTGAAGCGTGTGAACTAGTGCTAACTGACCGTCCTTTTGAAGCGTGTGAACTGGTACTAACCGACCGTCCTTTTGAAGCGTGTGAACTGGTACTAACCGACCGTCCTTTTGAAGCGTGTGAACTGGTGCTAACCGACCGTCCTTTTGAAGCGTGTGAACTAGTGATTACCGACCGTCCTTTTGAAGCGTGTGAACTAGTGATAACCGACCGTCCTTTTGAAGCGTGTGAACTAGTGATAACCGACCGTCCTTTTGAAGCGTGTGAACTAGTGATTACCGACCGTCCTTTAGAAGCGCGTGTACTAGTGCTAACTGACCGTCCTTTTGAAGCGTGTGAACTAGTACTAACCGACCGTCCTTTTGAAGCGTGTGAACTAGTGCTAACCGACCGTCCTTTTGAAGCGTGTGAACTAGTGCTAACCGACCGTCCTTTAGAAGCGTGTGAACTAATGATAACCGACCGTCCTTTTGAAGCGTGTGAACTAGTGCTAACCGACCGTCCTTTTGAAGCGTGTGAACTAGTGATTACCGACCGTCCTTTTGAAGCGTGAAAACTAGTGATAACCGACCGTCCTTTTGAAGCCTGTGAACTAGTGCTAACCGACCGTCCGAGCTTCAAAAGGACGATTAGAACTAGTTCACACGCTTCAAAAGGACGGTTAGAACAAGTTCACACGCATCAAAAGACCGGTTAGCAGTAGTTCACACGCTTCAAAAAGATGGTTAGAACTAGTTGACACGCTTCAAAAGGACTTCTATTTCTCAATTTCGGTTGTCCAGAAAAACAACAAGTCATTCATGTGATCATTCATTGAAACTTTGACTCTCACTCGAATAAAGTCGCATATATAAGTTTGCTTCTCGACCTCGGTTGTCAAGAAAAACACAACAAATGCTTCCTTTGATCATTCTTTGAAACTTTAACTCTAAACGAAATAAAGTCGCTTAAGTTTACTTGTCGACTTCGGTTGTCAAGAAAAACACAACAAGTTATTCATGTGATCATTCATTGAAACTTTGACTCTCACTCGAATAAAGTCGCTTGCGATTATTTCTCAACTTCGGTTGTCAAGAAAAACACAACAAGTCATTCATGTGATCATTCATTGAAACTTTGACTCTCACTCGAATAAAGTCGCATAAGTTTACTTCTCGACTTCGTTTGTCAAGAAAAACACAATGATCGATCGCAATAACACGAGTCTTCCTGGTCATATCAAAAATAGTTAATATTAACTATGTACCAAGTGATGTCAATCAAAATGTTTACCCTGATATGACTCAAGGGAGTTCAATGCTGTCAATCATTTGTGTTTGACAGTTCTTTGTCTTTGGTCTAGCCAATCAGTGTTAGCGAAAATAAGTTAATGATGCATATCCTATAATGTTTCGTGAAATTATACTGATCTTTGAAAATCACTCAACTGTAAGTTCATGTCGCATAGAACAATAGAATTCTGCCCGATGCCGTATTGTTTTTTAAAAAGACTCTTGTCGAATAAAAATGCCTTTCATAAAGCAGACTTATAATAGATGGAAAGAATCCCAAAGCATTAAAAAAACAAAAATGAGTATGCAATTGTCTCTCGTATCAACCTTAAATAGCTTTTGTTTACTAATTTTCTTACTATGCGCTTTTAAGGTAATACAGCATCATGATGCCCATGATACTGAAATCTTGGCTAATTGCAAAGCAACCTTCCAAGACGTAAGTTACTTGTTTGTAAATGGGTCCCAGGGTCAAGTTTTGTATCGTTATTGCATCTGAAACAGAATATCCTTTTGCGATTTCCAGTTGCTTGAAAATAAAGAACTCGAAGAGCTAGCTCTTCTTGCAGCACACGCACCTAAGGTAAGTGGGAAACTATTCTCTCCGACTGTAATGCTATAGATCAATCATGTATAGAAAAGCTTGTTTTTTAAACTTACTGCCATCTATTCTAGGGTGTTCTACGAACAAAGGAAAATTTTAATATATTGAAAGAGCTAGGAAGGTAAAGTCAAAACAAGTCAAGCAATCCTCCAGCCCTCCTCCTTTTAAAAACCGGCCTAAGCCTTTCGTGTTAATACCATTTGCAAATGATATATTTAACTTTGCTAATCAAATAAAAAGTGTATCCGAATAGGACTAAAAGCATTTTAGATCCGCGGACTAATTAAAAAAAGGCACTCGGTCCCGCCCTTTTTCTTTGTTCTTTACTCTCAAATCAACCTTAACTAATTCAAACTGGTTAGAGCTGTGCTCCGGGGTCACACATGGACTGTATTGCGGCTGCCAGAGGCGCATTCACATACTTTCAGTTTGACCCCGTTGAGCTGCGCCACTGCTGTACTTGCGGTGGTGATAAGCGATGACAAGTTTACTTAGTTCATAGGTATCAGAATATTCTGATGAAAAGACAGGAAAATAAAAGCACTTCACTTAACCTTTTTACTCAGCCTTGGCAATTCTGTTATCAATAAATGAGATCTACGAAAACAGACAAAACCCACCTCAGTTGTACCAAAGGTTTTTAGTTTTGATCTTAAGTGTAACCTTAATGCCGGTAAATCATACCAGCGATCTCGAAAATAAATTTTGGGCTATAAATATCTACAGTACTTTAACCTTGACTTTCTTCTCTTGAGTCCTCTTACTCTTGTCAAAATATTCATTTGTAATCTACGCACAAGGAATACCCACATGTTGATCTTTCGTGTCCCTATAGGTATGGGGAAAATTTATTTTTATCTTTGTGAACCGGTCAAAAAAGAAAGCTTTGGCGTTGTTGGTATTTTTAGATGCCGAATCATTTCGATTACTACTACGCTAAACATCATTCTCATCGCCAGGATCACTTTCCTAGCTACACTTTACAGGAGTGAACCCTGAGGTTCTGACTACATCCAACTGATTATATTTAGCTTAATAAAATGAAATAATCTAGAGACATATATCCTTAGAGGCAACGCCCATCTTGGATCCTTCACTAAGACTGAGGAAGTTACGGCTTCCAGGCAATATCCTAGTAAGCAGCATTAGTAAAAATACACAGCTGATTATTGAAAATCTCGCTCGCTGATTGGTCGAGAAACTCACGCTCAGTGAATATCGCCGCTCGAAGACTCGCTTATCGGTAAATATTCGCCGATATTCACTTAATCTTCGGCAAATAATTGTTAAGGAGGCTCGAAACGGTTTTTCTTGAGCGCGCGCTCTAGATCCAATCACGTAGAACTTATATATTAAAGGAAAATTATGCCCTCAAAAATTTTAATATTCAAACTGAAAAAAATCAAAAACTGTACGGTGAAATTTCTCCAAATTTTGCACATGGCTTTGGTTTGTKTTCGAAAACTTTTGTAAGAGGGAACTATCCCAAACAAATTTTATTGACTTTTACGAATTCCCTCTTACAGAATTTTTTATTTTTTCGTCAAAAAAGATCATGATACAAAGTTTAAATATTGTGGTTTTTAAAGAAAAAATTACCATTTGGTTTATGAGTTATATTGTTATCTGTGGTTTATGGTCTTTGGCTTTCTAGGTTTACTTGCTGTCATATTAGAGCATATTATTAATTTTTTTAGTTCATGATTGTGACTGTATGTGAAGGCACGAAACACTTTCCAGCCGCCTTAAGTAACATGTTAATAACAGAATTCAGTTCTTTTGATAACATTCTTTCTTTGATTCTAGTGGGGTACTGAAGATTTACTGGGATGCCCTTCTTTCTACTCTTTTGATTCAACATTCAAAGTTATCAGCCTGGGAATCCGCTGAGTATGTGAAATGGTCCTTAGAAAATGGTGAGTAGTGATAATCGGAGAGTAGGAAAATATTCGTGTCATTCAGCTTACGAAACAGTTTGTTATGATAACCCAAAAATTGGGGGCGGAAATATTAACACGACTTTCGTGTTTCGTATCTTCTATTTTTCTCTTCTATAACTAAAACAAAATGTTAAAAATAGGGATTTAAGCATTTAATAGCTAACTGTAAATAGCCGTATTTACTCTTATCTGCCAGTAGAAAACTGACACTGAAGAGGGCATTTCGCATAATTTAGGTTATTGCGGATGCCATTCATAAGGAGACATCACTGTCTGTCTTCCGATTATGGTCTCATACTGGTCGCATTTTCATTGTTAAAAATTTATCATGATCCACAGCCAATATGCAACACAATATTTGCATTGTTAAGAATTTATCATGATCCACAGCCAATATGCGACACAGTCTAGGAATCCACTGAGTGTGTAAAAAGGTCTTAAGAGAAAGTTGAGTGTTAACAAAAATGGTTCATTAGAATGAAACCATTAGAGAGCGTTCAAAACCATCCGGCCTCATGGAATTTTCTCGGTTTTATCATCGTTTTCCAGGATTTTTTGAGATCACCTTGCTGATTAATTCAAAACCGATTATCCTAAAACCGAGCCCATACATTGACCTTGACTGTTGAAAGCTTTTACGCATTAAATAGTCATGGTTGGTTTTTTTAGGTGTTCCAGAAAACGCGTTGTCATTTTATACCCATTGTCATATTTACACTGACATGAGAGCATAAAATCACTTTGTATGGGTATTATATTAGACCAAACGGAATCGTGCCCAATATAGACAGAAGCGTTCGATTGCAAGATATAACTTAATCATGTAATATGAGGGATAAAACTTCCTTGTTTTCCTTTATCTTAATCTTTTTCTTCTACTTTTCTTATTTTTCCTTTTTTTTTTTTTTTTTTTTTTTTTTTTTTTTTTTTTGGCATGGATATTTCCTTGTCTAACAGCCTCATATTCAGTCCTACATGTAGATTAGATCTATATTGAATACGAAGACAAATCTCAAAAGCTAAATGTACAGATTAGACGAAATTACTAAAAGATACTGATCATTCATTATAAAACATTTGTTTTAGCAATGAAATAGTTATGATATTTGAAACTAAGACTGAAACTACGGGTCAAGAATAGAAAAATGTCGCCGCATTCAAAGCTTTCCACTTCCATGTGTGGTTGCAATTAGAACATGTCATTTGATGTTAGACATCGATAGTATTCATACTCATTGGTATTCATGTTAAAGGCTAATATATATTAAGCAGCAATATAAATATCTACCCCTAAATTGTTTTAATTTCACTACTTCTGGTTACACAATTATACGATATTTGTCAGTACGTGTTTATACTACAGGCCATGTAGCTACATACAACTCCTATTTTTATATTATAGCATCTGGTTAACATTATAGATTCATTTTCTTAAAGAATTAAAACTAAGGGAGAACGTTCCCTGTGGGGATTTCAAGGCGAGAGTGATCCTTCCTTTGAACAGTACATAAAATATATGTGATGCAGGGTATTCCAAATTTGGACATAGTGAATATGATAAAGGAAACAACTTAAAAGTAATGTAAGAAGTTTTCTTACGGTATCATATACACAATGGAAATTCTCCGCGATTAGTTTAGACCTTTATGACCTCCCTCCCTCCTTTCGTATTTTGGTTGGGTCTACGATTTTATATTTCAAGAAGATATTGTTTCCCTCCACCACATGAACTAAAGTCACTAAAGATAGTCAATACTATTTTTCTTTTTAACATAGATGAAAAAGAACACCTGATTCACTGGATAGCACAAAACGTGGTAAGCTTGGCACTGATGAAGATGAAGGATGTGTTGTCGTTAATTGCGCAGCGAATTCCGGTTATGAAAAATGTTTTGTGCGCTCTTTCTCCATGACGAATGTTTACTTTGTTAAGATGTGTTGTGGCCTAAATGGTAACAGTCCAAACTGCGAGACTCGTTATACCTCAGCCCTTCCACACGTTCATACACAGTTGCGATGACAGGTCTTCTCACGTACTCTATATTGTTCAAAAATGCGGTAGAGTTGAAGAGAGGCAAGGCTAAGGGTCACGCCTTGAAATACGAGGAGAATTTGAACTTAGTGGCTTCCCAAATAAAAGACAGACTACCACAGCTGAGTCAGTCTACACATGATACTCGCATTTACGACCCAAGCTGTCTTAACCGAATCTCGTGAAATGCTTCTTAATAGTTTCAATGTTAGAGCGCTGAATCAATCAGTATTATACAAGCCAACGTCCATCCCATGAAGATGTCATCATGGATGGTATATAACCCCTTTTGCATAATACTTGTGTCGCCTCTTTGATTCTCGTTGCTTTATTTTTCATCTTCTGTAACTACTTATTTTATGATTTTAACAAATGTTCCTATAATGAATAAAACAGTATAATCGACTTGCTCATCAGACCCTCGAGTCTTTTTTCAACATTGTTGCTTTACTTGTTTTCCCCTTTCAAAACTAACTTTATTTCTATATTTCTAACGCTTTTCGCATGTGCTTTCATGGTATAATGCCATACATAAATCCATCTCGAACACACTTCCACTCAATAAAGGAGGCTTTAGCATAAAATTAAATGGATGTCTTGGTAGCAGTATACACACCAGAAGATTTTTATTTCTCGGTAGTAGTAGCCAAAACGCGATTTTAATATATAAGATACTGTTCATTTAGATTTTAATCTAACGGCATCATAGTTTTAGTCTGATTTCCTTCCCAATCCAATTCATTTTTTTAAGATAGATGACAGTACCAAGATTGCTGATGAAATTGTCGGATACTGCCAGTGCACTGACGGAAGGTACGAATCATAAGCAAGTGTTCTATTTTATCACTGATAAATCCAGAATTATAGACTCTAGCTTTGACTTGTCGGAATATGCGGCATACGAATATATTTCCTCTGCGCGTGTTGAATTTGTAGGCGACTGTCAATGACAATATTTGCGGTAATGTCATAATGGTATAAGCAATTTTAGTTTGTTCCGTTAATGGAAAAAGCTTTCAAAGCTTAAAGGTACCTTTGGCGATACTGAAAGACACATTTTTCTGCGCCCTCTGAGATCACTAGGCGTCCAGTCAAATCTATTTTCAAGGTGACTCGAATATCCAAGCCGAGACGTTTTTTAGTTTCCGCTCAACTTCGCTATTTATGCATTGCATCAGTGATTATATTTTAGCGGGAACTGCAGGAAAATGGTTCTATAGTCAAAGCAGAGAGAAGGAAAGCTGAAAGAAACTGAGAGTAGAATAGAAGAGGGCCAAAATTAGAAACAGCTATATTTTTTACCACAAACTGAAAAAATAGCTCAGCTCTGGGAATCAGTATTAGGTGCTCTGCGGAAAGGGGTTTCCTATCGAACCTTTGCGACTGAATAAGAAATTTATCACTGCTAAAGACACAAATAGAACTGCCCCTGATATTTTTAAACTGCCCATTTCATATCTTTGTTTTATGATGACTTAAGATGACTTCGGCTAAAGCTGAATGGGATTCCCATTAAAGCTTCAAGGAAAAGATATACAACAAAGCAGGCTATGACACTATGACGCACTTGCCAATATTTATTCACGCTCTTGCGCTCTAGAAAAAGTAAAGAAATACTAGTACAACAATGCGGCTAAAAGGCTAAACTAGAACTAGAGTTTTAACTATTAAAATACGAAAAGTTAAAAAAGAAGAGAAGAAAGTAATTAAGGGTGTTTCCGCATTATATGTTTTCTCACGGCAAAGATATCAGGGAAAATAATTTTTTAATTTCTCTAATTTTTATTTTGTCTCAAAAGCGTAAAACCGTTAATTAAAATGGCTTCGGTTAATGTTAAGGTTTTTACTTCTCAGAGGAAGTACCTATTTTTCAAAGAACGACAATAACCATAAGTGCTCCCATATATRTCTTGCCATTGTTTATTGCTTTACTTAATGCATTCTTGAGTTCAGAGCTGTACAAGATAAAAGGTTTAGTCCATTTCTGTATTTCAATTTAACCTGTAATTCGTATTCACAAATAGATTAAGTAATACCATGCACTAAGCCATCGTTACATTTCCATGACAACTCTCTCTGAGTCTAGATCTCTTAATCCCCACTGTCGTAAACTGAGACAAGGTAATTTTCACTGGATTCTCACTCTTTTTAAACACGATATTTTCCATTTGTTATATCAAAAACTTTGCTATTGATTTAATGTTTTCAGTGTCCAGTCGAAATCCCCCTATCTGTTATGTTAATGATGAAATTATTTCGATGAACGCCTTGATAAACACTGCCTGTAGACAAGAAGGCGTCTGTTATGCATGATAATTAATTGACAATCTGATTGGTTAAGACCAAGATTCAACTTCCGCAAAATAAAACTTATAGCAGCCAACCTAAGTGACGAGGGAAGAATGTGAACGATAATGTTCATATTAAGTACTCTGAATTTATGGACGTGATCAGAATAACTGAATCTTTCCATGACGTCCGACCAAAGCCTACTGTGTGTTTATCGCCCTTCATCTTCACTTGATCCGGTAGTGCGTATATAAATACGAATCTCACCCGAGAATAAGAATTCAGTTCATTTATGCATCCTAAAGTCAACACATCACTTTTCTTCTTCTTCAGACTTGTCTTTYTTCGAAATTCGGTATTTTAGATATTTAATTTGGAGTCTTTACCGAGTCTAATATACGTCCGATTGATTCTTTTTCTTCCTGTTGAGGAAATCGAAGTTGTCACAGCAGAGCTGATTATCTCAAAGAAACAGCGAGCAAAACACGAGGATTTATGCAGAGGCACTTTGGAAACTGTCATTCACTAATGTGTCTACTTCTAGAAATCTAACCTTCGATATCGCGTCACAATCTTTAAGGTAATATAATACAGGTGAATTTGACTCAGCCTGACATCGTATCGTCGTGTCAACAGCAATATTACTTTCCTCCGTTGAAGTCAATGTCGAGTTCTTCCTTCAAAGTACCGAACATTTCTTCTAATCCTCACAATGTAAAATAGCCGAATGCTACGGGTGACGGACAATTAGAAAACATGGATCATGCAAATGGGACGGTTTTGGCGGGTCCAGAACCCACGATTATAGTTCTATCGATCGTAAATATGGTTTTCAGTGCCGCTGGAACTATTGGGAATTTAGTGGTTTGTGTGATCATACTTTCCAACAGAGATCTTCAGATTGTTACAAACTATTTCATTTTCAGCCTTGCGGTGGCCGACCTGCTTGTCTGTACCATCGCTCAACCTATGTACGTTGCCTATATCTTGGGCTTTCAGGATGGAGCGTTTCAATCAATACGTCGTACATTTACTTTCGTCTCTGTGCTGGCTTCAGTAAGCAATCTCTGGGCAGTCACAATCGATCGGTTTTTGGCTATATCTTCGCCACTTAAATACCCTCAGCGGCTTAATGTCAAGCGTACAAACATACTACTCTTCATTATTTGGAAATTAGCTATTGTACTTGGCGTGACTGCAGCGTTTATACGCGTTGCCCGTATTTTTGTTCAGATCTTTACAATTATCATGATTGCTTGTATAATCCCCCTTTATATTCGTATATTTATTGTTGCCCGAAGACATGCAAGACTTATTATCCACCAGTTAGCTTACTTCAACAGTATGCAATATGCTGCCGTTCAAATCAGAAAAGAACGAGAAAACATTGCGGCGAAGACTGTTGGAACAGTTTTGTTGCTATTTGCCCTTTGCTGGATGCCTCTTCAAATCATACCCTTTTTCTATAGACTTTATCCAGAAAAACTTATGGGTGCATTCGTATGGGTTAATACCCTTGCGCTCTGCTCCTCGTCTTTTAATCCAGTGGTATATAGCTGGAAAATGGAAAGCTTTCGCAGGAAAGTTAAGAGAGTGTTGCGGTTAAGTTTAGTTAATGGAAAAATGAGTCGACCTCCAAGCAACTCTACTAAGATTGGAGATGAAGAAACAAACGTATAATCTGTATATCCGGCTTGGTCATTAGGATGGTAACCCCGGTTTCTAAAGATGGAAAAACCCAAATCCTTGGAAGACTTTTTTCTTGTAAAAAGTACTTTGGAAGATGGTAAATAAAAAGGCTAGGTACTTCAATTCGGATAAGTACTCGAAAGATCAAGAAGTCCGCTGAATATTCGTGTGCTACCGCACTCACCGCTACTCAAGCCGCTTACAGGAATAAAAGCAAATCAGATCGTAGTCCATGACCGCTTTCGATCTGTTGTTAGCCAAATGTGATGTTTTTCATTTCCAGTCCTGCAGTTATGTCGAGACATGAATAACAAACATGCTCGTTGACATCGTGTAACTGTCTTATTCCAGACATATGAAAGGAGAATATTTGCCTGTTATAGTACGCCGGCTCGTCGGTCCTCAAAGATCCTTTAGTACTGACAAAAACCTTGGGCTATTGCCACTTAAATAGTACATCATAGTAAATTCAGTCACTTTGGTTCTCGAACGATCACGTAAGGTCTGGATTGAGTTTTACTCCTTTCAGATACGAAAATCTTTTGACTCAGTATATCATATGTGCTATTATAAAAAAAATACAGTATGTTACAGCACGCTACATGTTTATTGTTGTTGCAACAAGTAGTCATGTTACCGAGACGTGATGTTGCCAAGGACATTACTGCAACTTTGTCCTTGGCATTGTAAGCCAGTAATCCTCATCATCTTTTAATCGCGCAACTTTGCGCGCAACATTTATGACAATATAAGAACATGTATAAAACGAGCGTTTTTATAGTCGTTACGACTAGGAAACAAACCCTTTAACAAATCTAGTAAATCATGCAGCACTACACCATTAAGAAAATTTCGAAATTGCTGACAATGTCAAGCAATGTACTTTCGTCAATCACTCCTTCAACCAAATCTGATCTGTATATCTATATTTATCATTTTCATCTATCAAAGTAAGTTTCACTTCCTAAAAATCTTCACAATCATAGTTCACGAATTGGACTCAGAGCCGTCAAGACCTGATTGAGGTATGAGCATAGTCTTCAAACTCCATCATGGATATTCATCGTAGAAAAGATTAATCCGACTTGGCCTAATGTTTAACAAAATTAACCAGAAGAAGTTGGTCTGGTAAGGTTTTGCCTTCAAACTTATTATATTTCCTGTTTGTGGAACTTTGACATAATGTCTAGTTTAACTCTCCTACTCACGGCTTCTAACAGCTCTGCGACGTACATGTAACAGTTTTACTATAAAGCAAGAACCTTCAATACTATCATATATTTACGTGTGTTAACTTCTTTTTTTTTTTTCTTTTTTTTTTTTTTTGTAAATATTTTGGACTGTATATAACTATGTGAAGTGTATACTATTAAATCAATGTATTTTGCAGTGAGTTGTCTTTAGAATTACTTAACTGCTGAATACTGCTATATGTGCATACCTGGCTCAGCATGCATCTATTGGTACACTATATAAAGAATCCCGTTTACTTTAGAAGATATCTCAAAGAGCAAAGGCTACGAAAACCATCCTTATGGACATAATCAGTAACATCAGCGAATCTATATTCTCTTGCAGTGGTTTGCATGATATCTAGCGAATACAACACCTTTTGAAGGATAATCCAATTAACTAGTTAGCGAAATTCAGATAATGTCTGGACCAATAAAAAGTTCAAAACCCCCATATGTTTCTAATCCCAAACTGCCTGTTTTATCTTTTTTAGCTGTCATTGTGGGCTCTGGAGTTTGGCACAGACAGTTTTTATAAGAATCGGCGATTTTAAAAAGGTGCTTCACCTCTTCACAATTCTCGATTACTAGACCTTGGGATAACTTAATTAATTATCGCCATTTCTTGATATGCATGATACTGAAATGTCAGCGGGATGTTGAGTGCTATGCTTATCTAATCGATAATTGCCGCGCGATACTTTTTCAGGCGATGGCCTGCCTGCTCCAGCAAGGAAGATATCTGGGAGCCCTGGAGTATGCAAGTAAACGTTGTCTTTTTGACAAGAAAGGTCAGTAACAATACACGCATTATATACGCGCATTAAAAACAGTTGATAATTCAACACATTTATGCCCTTAGGTCTTAACTCTAGATCTAAACTGGCCCGCCTTTTAAAATTTCCGGTTTTAGATGTGTTTGTTTAATACATAAACGCCATTTATCCATTTAGTAAAATTGCTAATGTATTTATTTAGAACAAGATCTGACGTGACTCATTTATCCTCCCCAAAACTACTACCTTTTTTCAGTGACTTTCTTCCGGTACTAAGCTAAACCAATGGAAATGCAGGGAGGGAATTTTGTCTTCTCACTCGCTCAATCACCTCGCCCATTTCAATAGATAGCGTGCGCAGCTTGGTTAAATATTTCATCCTTTGATCTCCGGACATTTTCCGTATTTTTCATTGTACCACCCAGCAATTCTAAAACTCAAATCTGTCTCGTAATTAATATCCAGATACCTGATGTCCTTAGGCGGTACGGCCTCTCAAATACGGTTTGACTAATTGAATAGCTTTTTCTAGGTAGTACCTTCCAATCATCCACGCATCCCAACCATCGCAAAGAGAATAATTAAAAACCTAATCGCTAGACCAAACGATTTTTCTGGTCTCATGCAGCATATTAAATCACGTCAAATGTCTGGCTTCACGCAAACAACAAATCATTCAAGTTTTCAATCGTTAATTCAAACTAATCAATCACTGACTGGAATGTATTTCAAGAAACACCCCGTCTTTGTTCAGAAGATAATAAGTTTAGAATTTCTGTCTAAAAAAATCTTTCAGTTAAAATCTTATGACAATTTGAAAGATTTGCGGGCTTTGATGCACCGGATCTTTCACAGGTCATTAGAAATGGGAAATTGCATCGACAACATGAAGGTTTTACAACCGGAGATTTAGCTGCAAAATGGAATTAGCAACCTCCTTCAGGGCAATAATGATTCAAGCATGGTCATCTGTTTTACTGAGTCTAATGGCTTCTAATCGTTTTATCCCTGTCATCGATCGTTTAGAAGAAAATCCATTGCTTTTGTTTTCTCAGTAAATAGAAATCACCACCATTAATAGCCAGGGTTGGCATGTTTATTTTTACAATTTAAATCGCGATGATTGAAAGGAATTCTATTCTGTGCTGTCACGTCCAACTGAATACCAATGCGATGTAATAATCAACGAAAAGATCACGTTTCTTGTTGTCGCGTCCCTTAAAATTACCTAACCTTTTCGGCTGGTACTTAAAGCTTTGTGATTTACAAAACGACTTATCATTAACAAAGTAATTATTCATTAAAGACGAGCGTCATTTATTTGACATTCAGAAGAGTAAAATTTATTCATTACATTTACCGGCTTTCATGAAGAAAAAAAAAAGATTTATTAAACTTACTTTCATGAAAAAAAGTATTAAACTTACTTTCATTTAAGAAATCATATTTATTTAACTTATACTCGTAATAAAATTAACCTCTTGTACGTGTTTGTTTTGTATGTGCTTGAACTTTCTGGAATTTTATATGACTTGAGGCACAATATGCTGCGCAACAGGAAAAACGTACTTGCCACTATTTATCTGGATTTGAAACGATTCGAATCCCACCAGATAAGATTTTTTAATCTTCAAATTCTTCATTGGATTTAAACACTCAACATTCGTAATCATTCATTTTAGAAAACTTAACTTCTTGTTGCCGTACCGTCGATCACCATATTATCAGTTATTGATAAGTACCATTGATTACGAGGCACACATGTGTTACACACATTTCATTATTGATTACTAGTGATTTCAATCTGAAAACGTCGAATTATGTTTATCTGGTTTGAAATACTTCCTGCCTGGGAACATTTTATTTACACACCTTTTCCTATATTTCTAATAAGTTTTCTGTTTATATTTTATTATGGCCACTTCTCTTACCGCCTTAAAACCCGTGCAAGAAAGTGCCCAATCCCACTTCTCGTTTCCGCCAAGGGATATTCTTATACTAATTTTTTTWAAATTCTTTTAATTAAAGATCTCCTGGATATTTTTTATCTGGTCCCATCAAAGTTACTGGCTACCAAGTTAAGTCAAAGGAAAAAGCCTTTTGATTCTCTCTTTACCATTGAAGAGGTATGAGTGGATCAAACATGCATTCAATCTTTTCGATTCATATGTTTCTAATCATCACAAAGTGGCGATATGCGCCAAGCAAATCTAGTAAAAACATTTGCATGCGGCTAAAGAAAAAAATGTTATCGCGAAATTGTAAAATACTTCAATATAGAAGGCCACAGAATTGAATAGTATTTTCTGTCCATCGCGGTGCAAATTGATGACGTGACCAGTGGAGCTTCGTACTACTAAAAACCTTTTCTACTTGCTATATTGGGCATAATGGGTTTTTGATTTCAAAATTTTATATTTTGCTATAGTGGATTTTCTCATCCTCGCGGCGTCAACAGAAATCATTTACAACTTGAAACTATCATCAGCCTATTAAAATTAAAAAGATAAATATTGAGAAAAGAAGCCTAAATATTAAACTATACATATGGATGTTCAGACAGGCCGAGGAAGTTCAGATGTACTGAATATCTTTTATCTGATATGAGGGTCTAAATGTAAACTTGACCATAATGATTAAATTTTGTTTTTGCCTTTTCCAGCTCATTTCCATTTTGATGAGGACCCAAGATGACATTAGTCTTACTCGTGATCTGATAAAAGTATGTTTCCTTGGGGACATGCCTAGAGTACATTATAGTCTAAGTCTGAATCTTTAATTATAGCACTATTTATCACATGCGCTTCTTGAGTTTTATCCAGATCTACCATATTTCATGATTACATTTAATATGTACTGAGATAAAATCTTCCCCTTAAGAATTCCCCCTTAAAAAGTTTGAAAAATCGGATTAAAAAACCAAATCTGCATATATATATAGTAAAACCCTCAATTATGGCGCCACTCCTGTGAGCTATTATGTCGTCCTATCTACACAATTACTCTGTTGAAATTCATAGTACTGAGATACAAGGTAAAATATCTCGTGATTTAATAAAATAAATAGAATCATCGCGTGATTCAATAATTCAAAAATAAAAAACTGACATAGACGCATTGAAGATTTGTCCACAATGTATTGCCATCATCAATGCCATCGACGTCACATCATCATGGATTCTAATAAAACGTATCAAAGTATCAGTAGTAACTATTACAGCAACTCTTTCCTATTCCCTTATGTAAACATGCATGTCTTTCTTTATTCATTCCCGGCTGAAGGCTGTGTTTGGGGAAGGATACCAAATTGATTATTGTGCTATTGACAAGCCAGGAATGAACGATAATTCAAGGTAATGATCCAACGTTAACGACATACTTCCTGATAAGTCTATTTAACATAAAATAGAAGTCAGTTTTCTATGGGTCTGTTCTGTAATCGAACATGAAATGACGTCAAAAATGCTCCAAACTCAAGTGGAACCACGGGCGCAGCGAGGGATGTATCAAAATCTATAGAGGAACTTCTGTGATTCACGATCCTTTCCTTTTATTAATAAGTTTGTTATTAAAACATTCCATTATAAATAATCAGTTAATCTTTAATTTGATGTAAAGCTAAATAAATGGATAAAGAAATAATATGCGCATGAGCTATGCGCATGCACATTTAGGGGGTGATTCCAGGTATTTTAGTCCAAAGAGCCTGCGTTTCTCTTGGTCAGCTCTTAAAAACAAAACTCTGGCATAATTGATTCTTAGACGAATTTGGCTGAGTCAAATTTGAGACTGCTCATGCGCGTTATTGCGGAATTAATAGCTAACCTGAATTCGACTTTTGACAAAAATGAAGAGCATCAGGGTTTTAAATACTGATTTTGAATTCCGTCATTTATTATAGAGAAACGATCCGAAAATGGAAGGATCTTTACCAGTCATGCTGGGATCTTGGACTCCATAGCCTTGTAAGTTTCTTTGTCAATCAAATTATTTTATTATTCTTTCGTTTCCTCGTTAATCTCAAATCAGCCAGGGGACACACGAACAAAAAAACGCAAAATAAAGCAATTAAACAAAAAGCAAAAGCTCTCGTTAGTTGCACCTTCTTCTGATGACGATTTTTAGCGTATGCGGTAAAACAGGTGCTTTTGCCTTAATTCACATTCATTTCGTAATTTTTTCTCATTTTAGGCAAAGAGACTATTTGCATATGTGATGGTAAAAGATGTCATGGTGTCAGCCAGGAAGATACACATCGTTAAGCGCTTCTTCCTTGGAGTGTAGATAGAGCAGAAAAGAAGACATTGTCAGTCATTCCGGCGCCGCGTCTGTCGGCTTACCGGATTGTCAGGGAGCTGCGCCAAACCAATCATGTCACTTAATTGAATCAGCGCAAATCCTATTTGTTGTTCGTTATACTGTAAAAAAAACGAATGTTAATTTGATATACCACACTTGCTCATCAAAAAGAGTGCATTTTGACTTGGTATCGTATGTACACTTTTATCGAAAGTTCATCTTAAGTGTACAAATTTAGAGTTAGATTTTAGGAAACTTAGAAACTTAGAACTTTTACCACGAGTAATAAATGTAGGATATCGTGATAGAAATATGACATTTCAGAGTTTAATCAATCGATTACACAAAATTTAAACATGATCTTTTCATGACGTACCGGACAAAGAATTCATACATGGTTTTTTTWAATCTAGTAATCTAAAGATCTTCAGTTGCTTATTCAAAAATGGGGAAAAGTGGGGTTCACCGACTTGGTTATCAAGTTATAAGAGATCGTAATAGGGGGTAATTCCATGAATTATTCGCATTGGACTTGTTCCAATTATACATTTAAGGTTTTGTGTGGAAAGTGTAGGACGATCAAAAAGCCTAGAGTAATCTAAACGACGAATCTTATCGAAGTTTATCTAGCATTTCAAGTTATAAAATTTATTTGATGAGTTTCTTCAAACTGACCTGGGTTCTAGTACTTTATACATTCCCTTGAAACTTGTGAAATCGTCTTTGTAATCTCCAGGATACTAACGCCCGTTTTGATATTGATGTTGAAACTAAAGAGGTCAAAATAATTTTTTGTTCATTTATTTTTAAAAACTCGTATACCGTATTTGTCAATTTTGAAACAATACCGGTCAGGTCAGGCAATAAAAAATCTTAGCATTTTTCGAAAAACGCCCAATTTTACCTTAGCATTTGCACAAAATTACGAAATATTTTGTCAGATTATAGAAAGGTAGTCAAAGTAAGATATTATTTTGAGAAATTTTCAAAACAACGCTAATAAACGGTAAAAAACGAGATGCGCGAAATGGATGCGCAGTAGCAAAGGTCCGCCGGTAGTACAAAAGTATGACCCAACCTTAAACCTTGGCTTTCAAATTGCGTTTTTTTTAATCCAAAGTTTTGGAAGAAGAGTGTAAGATAATTGCATGATTCTTAAAGCTAGAGACGAATTTCTACTCGTGCTACGGAACGTTTACTCGATTAGCCAGCTAATCAAACCTTGATAAACGTCAAGCTTTAAATGATAAATTCTTTATCATAGTATTAATTATCACCCTAGAACCTTTTACTCTTGACAAACTTATGCTGGATCAGTCAACTTATTGGAAGTCGTCGCCGGTGATGTCAATGGTGACATGAGGAATTGCCAATCGAGAAGGTCAAAATATAAAACTCTAGATTCCTTATGTCTTTTTCTTCTCAAGTAACGAATGTTTGAATTTTACAACCTTAATTTGTCACTGATTTGATAGTTTGGTAAAATATTTTGAAACTAATTTGACTATAGGCAAGTGACGCAAAGTGATCGTAAGATACCGATTGAAATTTTCATGATTATTTGCAATCTCCATGCTTTATCTTACCAATATCCTTGCGCAAGTAATGAATTTTTTTAAAGTAATACCCCTAAAAGCATATCAATCGTAGACCATTTTATAGTGTTAGTGATCGAAGTGATCTGAACGATTAAAAGTGCTCAGTTTATCAGAAGATTATGTGGCTGCATTACTAATTTTCACGGAATAGCCAATAAAAAAATCCAAAACACCTGTCCTTTACTGCTTGCGCTTGGTAAAAAATCGTTAGTCAAATGTACTATTACTGTTGTCGTGCGTGGTCAGTCGCTGGTCCTTCAGGACATGATAAAGCTAACTTCTTTTATTCTATATAAACATAGTTTGATATTTGTTAATGAGCAGTTTATTTAGGGCCAAAGAATCGACTGAGGCGCTTTCAGAACGCGCTTTTTTACTTCTGGGAAACTGATACAAATGTTCAGAAACCTTCAGACCGTGCCAAGCTTAGCCTAAGCTTGCAATATTGACTTCAATACATTTATCGTAAGTAAGCATGTTATCCATTGTTTGTTAAAGGACACTTTTCGTTTTCAACTATTACTCATCCAATCTTGATTGGGTCTAAATGTCTTTTATACAGTTTTTATTTATAATATAATATTTACTTTTCAGATTTCAAGCTTCGGTGAGTCAGACAAGGCTGAGTCCAGATTATATCAAGTTTACAGTTAAGAGGCAAGCACAAATATTCTTAGTAAACAACGATATTTGATTAAAAAGATATGTGGTTCCCTCCATGATCCATCTCCCCCTCCTACCCTGCGATCAACGCCCAAACAACAAAATAATAAACAAACATAGTAAAAAGTGATAAAACATTTCTAGTATTTGATCTAATTAAACAGAACTTCACTCTTACGGGCTGAAGATAATAAGTTCAAAATTCTCTGTGCCAGTTAAGATGTAAATAAATTGAATATTTTACTTACTAGCCAGCGGGCTTGATAAAGGAAAAATAAATTGGCCAGATGTCGGGTGATTTTGGTCTGTCAGGCTAATTATCAAGTGCGGAAACTAGTTTTAACACAGATAAAAAAAAATAGAAAGATAGAAAGAGCTAACCTGAAAATGTTTGATCTGTTGATCAAATGTGAGATTAGAAAGAAGATTAGAAACAAAATTTTGTTTTATTATACATTATTGAATATTATTTTCTTGTTCTGGATTTTGACTCAACAAACAAAACTTCTCATTGGATCGAAAAGAAAGAAAATATAACTAATCCGAGAAAAATTAACCAACAAATATCTTTTACCAAAAGCATATTTTAACTCTTGCTGATAAATATTTGGTTGTGAAAAGGCTGATCGTGGAAAATATAAACTACTTATTTTGATTAATGCATTGCGCGCCTAGATTGAGACTTTTTTAATCCTTTTAATTATCATTTTCAAATAAATTATCTCCCAATTCTATCATAATTGTTTTTAGTATAAATTGCTTTTATGCATTGATGTCTTCGTTACGAAAAATATTAATGAAAAACCATAAAAGCGCTATGATTGGACCGTCGGTAGTGCACTATTTGACTGTTTTTTATTAATAAAATAGCCACATTGAAACATCTCGTTTAGAAAAACGTCTTCGTACCCTCTCTAATTAGAAGATAGAAATATCAATCGATGAAATTAAATCATTAAGATTTCTTAATCTACAAGTACTGGCATGGAGTCGGTTTCTCTGAGCTACGTACGTACCGAAACATCAAAACTGGCATTATAAATAATTAACCACACTTTCCCATAAATATTGAGCTAATCATTCTTTTGCGCTTGTATTGTCCCTTTTTTCTTTCTTGCTGCCGATTTGTGTACATGAACAACTTCGTGAAAATACATAAATGAATGATTGAAAACTTTAAGTGTCACGTAAGTAATATTCATCTCACATGTTGGTGGTTTGTGGCTACCAGACTAGTGTTATGTTGCAATGTTTTAATATGGGCTTAACGTGTGTTGGTACAAATAAGCCTTTATTTACTGATTTGGGTCATTTTGATTGATCGAGAACTCGGATGGAAATACATTAGTGTGAAAGCTTTTCTAATGCTACGGAATGCAGTGTGAAATTTCAACACGTCATGTCATACTTCTTCGGCATTGAATGGTTTGGCGAGACTTTAAAGACCACATCTATATCATTCCTGGATGTGTATTCCTATGCATGTCACCATCGTCAGTTTATATTTGCATATTTTTTATAACAGTTTTGCTGCAAACGCTCATTTCACAAATGACATGTTAAAACCTTATGCAAATAATTTGTTTTATTTCTTCAAAGCAAAGGAGAGTTGGTTGGCTTATTTTGGTCCACTGTCGCACAGGCTGATGTTTGTAAGCAGAACTCCAGGTATCTTAAATAATTAAAAAGCTCCGCCATGACCTTTTACATATATATATTCTCCTCAAGACCGTGTTGCTAGCAAAGGAAGTAACAAACGCTTCAATTTACCTTTAACAGTAGGAGCAAAACCGAAGCTTAACGATGCATTGGTGCAATGGAGGAACTCAAGCCATGGTACTCTTCGTGGTGGCCCTGTTCGCTCGCTACTCTTACGCCACACCAGACAAGTAAGGATCACTTATTTTCACTATGTATTCCATGTCTTTTGTAAAGTTAAGTCAGCTGAAAACAACAAAAAAAACTTTTCTCAACGTTTTTATTTCCGTCAATTTACCCCGAATGGCTGCTTACTTTGTTCAAAGGCAGAACTCGTGTTTTCATAACGCATACTACTTAATGAAAATATTACCTCTATTTGCATCACCTCGAGAAATAGAACAAGCATATACAAAGAGTACGCATAAAAACCCACTGTACAATCTTACTCATTAGGTCTTTTTCTTTAATAGATAGTTTTACTCATAGGTGCATGTTTGTTACTCTTCAAAAGGCAACTGGTTTCAATAGGACACGAGGTTTTGAGTATTCCTCAACCACCGGCGTTAGTTTTCCCGCAAATTAAATATTTCCTATGGCTTGCAGAGGTTAATTTCACCCTCTTTCGTCGAGGCTTTCCAATGGTGAATTTAATAATAAAAAGGAAGTCAACTGAAATATTTCACTACTGGTAGTTGTTATTCCGAGTTTTCGGAGTTTAAAATATTTTGGCTTTAGCGGTTTAAAGTTTTGCACTGATAACAACAAATCTTAAATATTTCTTGGTCGCTTTTCATGACCGAAAAACAATATCTTTGATTAAGTTTAGCGCAAATTGGACCACATTTATTGCGTAGCTATGTGGGGTACTGATCGTTTCTATGATTTTCATAATAGTCTTCTCAATATAATATACTCTCGTAAAACAGCATGCCATGACTAGTCATCAATCATTTATTTCCTTGTCTTTGATTTGTACACGACAAAATATGTTATAACTAGTCTTGAAATTTAATTCAGCTGTTGTAATTCTAAATCTCGCTCAATGTATAGAAATCGAAAAATCATGTTTAGTACATGACAAATACTTTGCTTCATCTTTTCATTGTGAAACACAGAACAAATTAAAATCTCACTTCGACATCGTGAAATAAGACAGGCGGACCTTTATTGGACCTCTAAGAGACGACAAATTTGGCTTGTCTCTGACTGAGAACAAAGTAAAATCATTTATTCGCCGGAACGTAATGTTTTTTCCTATCAGTTACATCACATTAATTGTTTTTGCCTCTGATCAACTCTTGGTTTGATCACTTAAGTGGTAACAACGATCTCGACATGGAAATCTTCTTTTTAGACTGACCCAGTGCATTTAGCCGGTATATGACTTTCTTTATTGATAGCATGGAAAATAATCTAGGATTTCTAAAATAGTAAGTCTTCGCGAAATAAGTTTAATTTACACAGTTTGGCCTGATTGGATTTTTTGTTCGTGATCTCAAAGCTGTAAAGAAGATTAATTCGGTTTTATGTGTGTGTACATAAGGGAGGGCCCTCTATGGCACAGGTCAGTCGGCACCTTTTGTCTATCTCTATGCACTCATCAAAATCTTTGTCTCTATCTTCAAGTACTAATACCGATAAAGCTTGTGAAAAACAAATCTTAATTTTCGTATTTTCTCGTTCTTTAATTTAGCTCATCAAAATCAGCCATCCCTTCTCATTATCAGAATTATTCGAGATTATTGAAGAAGCTTTTGGAAGAAGGATACGACAGAAGAATAAGACCAGGCGCTAAAGGTATTCATTCAACAAAATCAGTCTAAGGAACCCCTAAGGAAGCGTCCATTTCCCATACAGGTTCCATACATGGAGCCCGGCCCGTATGAGAAAGCAGGGCATCACTAGGCAGTATCCATTTGTTTCTTTGTTGTTGTGTTTGTTGCAGATCAGGAGTGGTAGGCTTCAATGGTCTCCAGCAGATATTGGTTTTATGACCGGCTCCAGATTATTAAAAAACACCCTTGTTCGTTTTTAACTAGCCTGACCCCAAAGAGACTTGTCTGCTGTGTCAAGCAGCGCCAAACTGAACTATCAAACACCCATTTACTTCGTTCTATGGTTTGTTGTTTCTTGTTTCTGAAAGGAGACCTTCAAGGAGATATCTTGTTAAATATTCTTCAGTTTTCTTAAGTAGTAGAGAAGAATGGAAATAGTCTTCTAATTCAGTTCTATTTCTTAGATGCTAAAATCCCAACGGTGTGTATGTCACAGTTATCAAAAACTATTAAAAATTATCAAAAGTCAAAAATATTGCGCGCCAGAAAAGTGAATCTAAATCTTCAACACTTTAAAGAAGCTATTTATCATTATGGAAGCTATTTTACCGAGTCATCAAAATCGTGGCGATCATTTTCAAACCTATAAAAAATCTATCGCGACCTTAAAAGAAAGGAGCTTAACCTCGAACATTTAATTTCCGAACTCATATCCGGGTGATCAACAAAGCTGTTAATGCATGGCTCTAGATCTGATATAACATGATTTCTTTGTATATAGGCGTTCCAGTTATCGTTAAGGTGGATATGTATGTCTCAAACATATGGGCCATAAAAGAAGTGAACATGGTTAGTCACGGCAAGAGAATAATAATGGACTCTGTTAATGATAAATACGTTTTTCGCTTTATAATAGACCTATAGCTTGGGCGTAATGTTTTCTCATTACGAGAATAACAATTCTTTGTTTCAGTCGCATCCATATTCATGCATCAAGTGCAAGCGTTAAACAAAGAATTCAATGCTTTAGTCGCAAATGACACGTAGTCTGAAATGGGTAAAACATTATTTCCATGCCAAAAAGGTCTATTGGTTATTTACATCGATTAAACTGTATTCAAAAGTAAGGCAAGATTTTCTTGCTCCTGTAAATAAAGAGACATGCACTAATGTGAAAACTGGTTGCGCCAAACTCGGCCCTGTCGTAAATGTTCATAGCGCAGTACAAACAGTACGCAAATGATCACTCTTCTTTCCCCTTTCCATGTCTAAAAAGCCAAATTTTTTTACTACGACAGGACTTTACGATTGATATTTATCTACGTCAATACTGGAACGATGAACGACTACGACACAGTAGGATATCGGCGGATTCGGTACTTACCCTCAGCAGTGACATTAATAAGCAGCTCTGGGTTCCAAGCACATACTTCATTGGGACCAAGAAGGCGTACTTCCATGATGTTACTACAGATAATTATCTATTACAAGTGCGACCCAATGGAAATATATTCTACGGTATGAGGTAGGAATAAGTGGAACGATGGGAGCCGAGGGGGCCGAGGGGGCCGTGGGGGGATAGGGTGGTCAGTTGTAATATAGCGTGAGGTTCGGTAGTTCGGTAATATCAATGTGACTAGTGTTTTCGGTTGTCGAGACACGAAAATTGGTTTCCATTTCAGTTAGAAGTTTGAGTCACGTGATTCATACCATCCAAGTGCTTGAACACGGAAGCCCATTGAAAGTCAAATTCCAACGTCTTTCTTCTGTTTTACAATAGGCTTACCATAACAACATCTTGTCAAATGAATCTAAGGGACTTCCCACATGATACTCAAGAATGTACGCTCGCCTTAGAAAGCTGTAAGTGAATCATATCTTATACTTTATCTTGTGCCACAAGTTTTCCTGTCGTAGAAAATCCTCTGTTAATATATCGTTATAGAAACGTCCTTTCAATTTTGTGTTAGATGGGTACCAAACGACAGACGTGATATATGAATGGAACGACCGCAACGACAACACCTCAGCTATTGTTTTGCACAACAATCTAGAGTTGCCTCAATTTGAAGTGATCGAAGTGACTAAATCCGTCAAAACTAACATGTATAATATAGGTGAGTTTTATTGTACCAAGGCCAGCGTTAATTTTTATCATTAGTCAAAGATAATGGTATAAATAGACTCCAGCAGAGTTGACTGCATTGTTCGAAAGGGATTATGGGTCAATTAGTTTTGGTTAGCATTTTCCTAGCAGGGGCTGAGTACAATGTAGAATTCCACCATGAGGTCAACTAGTAGCATTTACGATAATATTAAAGAATAAAAAAATCATATTTAATGAGTTTTCGTAGCAGAATCATGGGAATGCTAATCAAAATATGTTTCTTAATCCTCAATTCTAATTGGTTTTTCCTTGAGTTCGTTCTGAAGGTCAACTCAGCTGGCTAATGAAGTTTATTTAATCTAAAAACCTAAGATGTCTTTACCTACTTATTATCTTAGGTAACCATTCATCGCTGATTGCAGTATTTAAAATGAAGCGCAGGATTGGATATTTTTTAATTGACACTTACATTCCCTCTACCATCATCGTCATCATTAGCTGGATATCGTTTTGGATTGACCCTGAAACTGCTCCAGCTAGAGTAGCATTAGGAATCACCACAGTTTTAACCATGACTACATTAATTTCAAGTGCCAGAGCGAATCTCCCCAAAGTCAGCTATGTTAAAGCCATTGACTGGTACCTATTGCTTTGTCTGATCTTCGTTTTTGGCTCTATCCTCGAGTACACCTGTATTACTTTTGCGATCTCCAATAGAAAAAGAGCAAAGAAGAAAATGGAGATGATTAGAGGATCTATAAATCGTTCGTCAAATAAAGTATGTTATATTGGTTCAATATAGAGCGTTAGAGTAGAATAATTCAAAATTTCTTAGCATTTTGATTAACTGATGATCACTTGGTTCTTTGCATGATTGACTTTTCCGTGAACGTACTTGTGTACCTAATGATTTTTCACATTTTTCACAGTTACTCTAATGATACCTATGACAGGTCTTATGTTAACAACTAAAGACGTGACTATACTGACTATTGCATTATGAAAAATAAAAAGCGGCTGATCAATATCTCAAATTACCGATGAAATCATATACTTCCTGTTGTCAAACCATAATTATCATACACGCAATGTGTTCCATGGCTGGTCAAAGTAACTAGCAGTTTCAAACTTTCGATTGTTCGGAAAATGAATTAATTGTGTGTGATTATCTTGCAACTTTTATTTGCCATGCCTTTAAATTGGTTCAAAAAATTTTCTTCAATAATCATCAAACAATCTTAAGAATTACATCCAATGATCACTCAGTTTGTGGCTCACCTTTCATGACAACGCCCATCAGGCTATACTTTAGCCTTTTCATCATTTCACTGTCATTAATGTTACTTTAAGTTTTTCTTATGTGATGCATGATATTAACTAAGTTATGTTTTGTCACTAGGAAACAAAACCAGAAATTCATTTTAGTGACACTGCACCGATGTGTCCCATCCACAGAAAAACAGGCGCAGCTAAAGTCAGTGTTATGGCTCGCGTATTTGGAGAAGATACCCACGTAAATGCAACAACTGGATCCTGCAATCAAAATTATGAAGGAGGTCTCTTATTTCACTTTAATCCCGCCCTCATTGACAATGCTTCTCGACTTTTGTTTCCCTTATCGTTTGTTGGTTTTAATGTTATTTACTGGATGGTATATGGTTCATGAGATACAACTACCGCATGCACCGACGTATCTCGTCTATAATTTCTTTTGAGATATTCTCATTTCATTTTTTAAATATTTGTTTTATTCATTTCATGTCTCTTCTTATCTAGGTTCGTATAATTTTTTTCTTTCTTTCTCATTCCTTAAATCTGTCGTATCTAGATCGCTTTTAGCTTCCTTTCCTTTAATTTTCTTTTTTTATCATTTGATGTCTAATTATATGTTCAGTTATTCACGTACCAACATGCATAGTTAATGGCTGTCATTGTTGCAACAAATAGCAGCGTACTATCAAAATAGTTTCCACCTCATAGACGCAGCATCTGCATGCCTCCCCTCAAACTGAAGGCAGTTGCTATGATTTACTACTTCTCTACTGAATTGCTTTTGGCCAAGTACTGTACTGTACCAACAAATCAGTAAAGTGTTGGACTATGCTACCAACAAGTGCAAAATGGAGTAACAAAAAAATAGTACTTAGAGTTAAACTGTAATATGATTATTATTCAAAAGAGATTTTGTTATGAATAGGAAACGTAGTCAAAGCGAATCAGGGACTCAGGGGCTGGAACCCCAGATTCCATAGCGTTATCTTGTTTTAATATATAACCACATTTAAATGTGGGTTTTCGTGCTTTACGCATGGTTTACTGGCTAGGAAAGCCATTTGAGAGTTATTACTAGGTACATTTTACTCTTGAATTGTTTTCTGCGGTTGGAGGCCAAGGGATAAAAAAACACACACATTAAAGTGATCAGAAGCCAAGCCTATCCTTCCTCATACAAAGATCTTTCTTACTGCAATGGCTAACTGTAACGTGGAAAGAGCGACTTATTTTTGTATAGTATTTATTAGCTAGATTTAAGGATGCTAGTCTTAATCATGCCCGCGATTTTGTAGCATCACTATTGAGAAGAAAAAAAACAAGGTATGCCGCCTATATCAATGAATTATAGTTATTTWAAAAATCACTGTAGTAGTAGTGATGATAATAAGCATAATATTTTTCATGAAGCTAAGTTTGCTTTTATAATGAGAGTGTTTTGAATGTCAGATGTTATTTGGAATATCGCGCTATTTTCTAGCATAGTAAATAAAGTGATGAAATGGGATCGCGACACGAGTCAGTTATTTGGTTCACATTGTTCTCTTTTAAAGTGCCCCTCACCCTTAACTCAATATTATCAGTATTGATTCTACATGAAGTGAATAGTTGAATGGTAAAATATGATTATATAATTTGAAAATAATAATAATTCGAAATGAATGTGTTGTGAATACTCATATTTTATTTTACATTTTTTTATATTGGAAATCAGTACATATCTCGACTTTTGTCAAATAGTAAAAATTCATTATAGAGGACCAGCCTCACAGCGACGTCGTAAAACAAATATTTTTCAATAAAGCAGATTGGCCAGAAATTCAACAAACAGTTACGCATTATTTCACCCATAAACTGTGTATGTAGCAAGTAAATCAGTAAAAATAGGCCAGGATAAGGCATATACTTGTGAATGTGCTATATAGTTAGAATTCCTTCAATAATAAGAATACAAAAAAAAAACTTGTTATACGATAAATTTAAAGGCAAGTCATTTGGTGTTGGACAAGAGGGAGGTCAGCACCCCCTCCCCTCCCTCCTTTCTTTCTATTTTGTTTTGAAGAAATCAAGCCAGGTGTTGGAATATATTAAATATGACCCATTATCATATGACCCGTATCTGCCCGGGCGCGCGCTCTTAGAAAAACCTTCGGGAAAATGGCGTGAGCCCTGCTCGAATCCGCGCGCTTTCTTTTTAATTATTATTATTATTTTTTTCTTTTCGTGAGGATCATATGATAAAATGCTTATTGACTGAGTTAGGTCGGGCCGTACGGGAAGATATTTGGCTATCGGTCATTTGTACGGACCTCGGTCTGTACGGCATCACCTCGAGCCAAATATTTTCCTAAAGTACATATTCCTGGCTCAACAGAAAAGCAATCTATTCGAAGATTCTTTAAATATTATAAATACTTGCATCCTTAGATTTATGGAACACCAGAGGTAGAGGGAAAGTGTTCATTGAGATTAAATTGCGGAACTGTTTAAATATTACTAAGTTACTCAAAACGCATCCCCCCCCCCCCCCCATTAGTTTTACTCCCACCAGCCCTCATCCGTCGTTGGGCAGAGGTCTAAAGTTACATCCTTCATTCATTTTTTACAGTTCATAGCTCAGCAATTTGTGTTAAAAGTAATTGGTTCCGCCTTCAAAACCGAGTACAAATCAGCTGTGCAAAATTCATAGCTTGATGCACTCGTTTCCAAATTGTTTTAAAATATAATCCTGTCCGGTGCGTATACAATCCAGTATATTGAAATTAACACAGCAAAGGTAACAGGGAAAGATATTCGAGCAAAACGGTCTACGATATAGGCACGTTCTGAAGTTATGAATGATTTTTGATCAGGATCCCAGAAGTAGTAGGGCTTTGAAAGAGGACCAGTGGTTTCATCTTGACTAGTGCTTGTACTACTTCTCAGTTCCTTTAAATTTGTAAACAAGAAAATAAAAATCAATCAAAATGAATAAAAACGCGCCGAAACAGGTAGTGCATATTAGATGCGCGCGATTACGGAATGGTACATAGAGCAGTTTTCGTATGACTGTGAAAACCTCATGGCACGAACACGGCTGTGACTAGGCAAGGGATACGCCAGACCAATCACACTGCTCGAAAACTTACTCTCCATCCAATCAAATACCCGGAACACGACATAAACACGGCGCGGACACGGTCACGCCAAGGTCAAGGCACTGTCAGACCAATCACATTGCGCGAGAAAAAAATCAGCCAATCAAAATTCTAGAAACCATCACGGTTACGGCAAGGTACGCATACGGCACTGGGCTTTTCACAGTCATACGAAAGCTGCACTATATGAAAAATAGCATATGAACTGTTGTCGCACCCAGAATCCTCTCACCAAAAAAACGATTTTTCGTTAGAAAGCTGCGAGACTTTGGGTACGAGAATGCTTATGAACCTGCTACTCAACTACTGAAATAACATAGAAATACTTACGCTAATTTCAGGTGTCTTAGTTTTTCCGCTTCTTTTATAAGTTTCTGTCCTCAAAACAAACGGATTCTTTCTATCTCTGAAAACGAAGAAAATAAATTCCGTCGATATAAAGTTGAAAGATTAGAACGGGTCACGTGACAGCAGCCATGTCGAATTTAGTCCCCTTCAAAGCAGGATATTGGGCAATCTTTTTATGATTTCAAGCAAGTACTTTTCAAAGAAAGGTATGCGCACACTATCAAATTAAAATGCGCCAGTTATGTTATCAGAACATCGTACAATAACTCAGTCGTGTTTAAGAATGCATGTAAGAGAATGGYCTATAGCATGATTTACATATATGTTTAATTGAAATGTTTCAGTTTGGTAGAAACAACGTAAAAAGACAAAATTTGTCCCGACGTTTCAATCAAAGCTTGATGAGAAACGTTTTATTTAGCCATTATCTACCACACCTAGATACCATTTGCATCATGAAAACTGCTGAACCATATGAAAAATAGCGTGTTGAATATTTTCTTACTGATCCAAACCACAATGGTTACCTTTTTAGCAAAGAATATTAAAGTTCTATTATCATAAAATCGAAAAAGAAAAATGAAGAAGAAGAATAGGAGCAAAAGCTTGAGTAGGTATAATATTTTGGTCACCCATCCAGGTGCTAACCCGCCTCGAACGGGCTTGACCCAGTACATTGAACGATCCATAGTTTTTTCCACTGGACCACGGTTTCAAATAAATCAGCATAACAATAGCCGTTAAAAAAATGCACCRAATAGACTAGACTTTTTAACATTAYRCTWTCAACCGATTCCGTGCGTGGCAGAGATGCAAGGGATTAGCCGATATGGTCTGGGGGCCGGCTGGTCTCTCCCCTGATGCTTCGGCTAGAACATTTTCTTGCGTAATTCGTRCACCCAAGGGCAGAAGGATTTAATCGCCGTCAGGTCCGAAGTCCATACGACGCCTCAGCTCTGCGGATGTCTCGGGGGTATGGCAAAGTGGAGTCGATTTTTCTTCTTTTTTTTTTTTCTTTTTCTTTTTCTTTTTCTTTTTCTTTTTTCCACCTTTTTTTAAAGACAAATACTCATCATCGACAGAAGCATTTATAGAGAAGCATTGTTAGACACGAGTTATGGGAAAACGTTATGTTATAATATCATAGTGAATGAAAAAATAAATATATAACCTTTCTTTCTTTACTTGTCTTTCCTTTACTAAAAGACTACCGAAAATGAATGGAGAACCACACATCAAAATAAGATCTTAAAAAACAAATTGTCATACCTCCTGCAAAAAATTATTTCGGAAACGAAAGAAAAAATGGAAAAATGAAACTTACATGACAATACCAGTGAGTGGTTTAAAGGAAATTGCTTGTTCACTGTTATTAGTAATTTTCTTGGCTTGTTCTTGGTCTTCTTCTTGAATATTTGTTATTTCTTCTTCGTTTAGACAGGGATTTAATTCGTCATCATGATTAAAGTTCATAAATTCACGTCTCATTCTTTTTGATAACTACAAGGAAAATCAGAGAAAATGTTTGGTTTGATAAAGAAGTTTTCTACGGTGAATAGCAAATCATCACTTAAAAGCTATGGTTTCGTCTACTCACACTATTTATCCTTTCTTGTTTCTTTTTCCTTACTTTACAAGCGTGGAAATTCACGATAGCATACTCCATGAGAGCTCCAAACACGTACACAAGACACATCAGCAGGAACCAATCGATCGCTTTAGTGTAAGAAACCTTTGGCAAAGGCGCGCGTGCGCTGTTTGATATGGTTATCATCGTAAGAACGGTGGTGATACCAAGGCCTACGCGGGCTGGTGGTGAGTCGGGTGAAATCCAGAAAGAGAACCATGATATGATGACTGTTAGCATCGAGGGAATGTAAGTCTGAATCATGTAGTAACCAAGGCGACGGTGAAATGTGAACTTGGCAGCAAGTGCTGAATGGGGACCTAAAGAAAAAATTTAAAAAAATATATATCTGTAGTATTCTCACTAGAATGCATGCGTGAGAAGCCTCTAATTAGCATAATCAGTTACCTCAGTTTGAACCTGAAAACCTGTCGTACGGTTAATATCCACGGCGCGCTTTTTGCATCTAGCTTAGTATCGTTTGTCGTATTTTCCGCTCAGAGATCTGCGATTGCTCTCCTTGCGCTATTGTGGTTCTTTCAAGAGCTTTAATAGGTCTGCTCGATCCCATTCTCATATTAGGTATTCCGAGGTTGAGGGAAAATTTGGGCCGAGTTGGTATTACAGTGCATTGTGGGACTGTTTTAGGGGACAAAATAGAAGCCATCTTGGCAATATGTCCTCTAAGACAGCCCCACAATGCACTGTAATACCAACTCGACCCAGTTTTTTCCTCGACCTCGAAATTGCTAATAGAAATGCAGTAAAACCGATGAAGATAAAATTCACTAAATGTAGAAGCATATCTACCTATGTTATAGATATTTGTCCTTTCTTCTAACTCAATGTTTGTTATCTTAAACTGAGGCATCTCTAAGTCTTCCGCAATGTAAACCACATCATTGGTTGTATTCCTCGAGTTCCATCTGTAAAATACGTCCGTTGCTTGGTAACCATCTAGTAGAAGAAATGACGGGGTTAATTGTCTTTATCATAAATAATAGGAAAACTAGATCTTTATCTTTATCGTTCTCTCTCTCTTAAAATAGAGAATCAACATTGATATCTAGTATCACAGCCAATAAGGGGCCCAAGAAAGACCCTTGAGGTACCCTCTACTTAATAACCTTCAACAGAAAAAAGGAATTAACTCTCGACTCTCTTTGAACTGCTTTCAACTTTTAATCTTACATGATTCGACTATCATCTCGCATTTTTGAACGTCATGTGGGAACTGTTGAAGAGTCAGCTTACATGCCATTGTTATAGTTAATCTGAAAATAACAAAAGAAGCACATTCACTATTAATGCATCGAATAGCATCAGCCATAAACCGCAGCATCGATTGTAAAACCCCATGTAATAATGGATAATTGGTATCAAGTCACACGAAGACAGTGGGTGGATAGAATAATCAATGAGGGGGAAAACAGGGAAACAATTCGGCCGCAAAACCAGAATTCGAGAGGGAAAATAAATTTAGGAAAAAAATGGAAGAGAATACCCTTTTGCACCCATTCTCTACGTTATTTCTCATCCAATCCATTTCATGTATACTCTACTATTAACACGCCCATTCTGTTTGTTATTTCTCATCCAATCCATTTCATGTATACTGCATTAACACACCCATTCTCATCCAATCCATTTCATGTGTAYTCTATTAACACACCCATTCTCATCCAATCCATTTCATGTATACTCTATTAACACGCCCATTCTCATCCAATCCATTTCATGTATACTCTATTAACACGCCCATTCTCNTATTAACACGCCCATTCTCATCCAATCCATTTCATGTATACTCTATTAACACGCCCATTCTCATCCAATCCATTTCATGTATACTCTATTAACACACCCATTCTCTACGTTATTTCTCATCCAATCCATTTTTATGTATACTCTATTAACACACCCATTTTCATCCAATTCATTTCATGTATACTGTATTAACACGCCCATTCTCATCCAATCCATTTCATGCATACTCTATTAACACGCCCATTCTGTTTGTTATTCCTAATTCTATCCATCTTAGAGTCCATGATTGGTTAGTGCTTACCTTACACTGTAGAACACATCACCATTTGGTTGAATCATAAGAAGGTAGTTTTCAGTCGTCACATCGTGAAAATAAGCCTTCTTAGCGTTGAAGAAGTAAGTACTGGGAATCCAAATTTCATCAATGGTTTGTCTGTTTAATGTAAGCGCTTCTTTGTTGGCCAATGGAGCGTAGAATCTTAGTCGAGGGTCCGTCCAGTATTGACGTAAATACATATCTATCGTGAAATCCTAGGAAAAAGAACTTTGCTTTAACTAATGTCCCTGTCAGGGAAAACGATCATATATTCCCCTCACCTCTTCTCTCGTCTATTCTCTTCTGCTCTCTTCTGCTCTCTTCTGCTCTCTTCTGCTCTCTTCTGCTCTGCTCTCCCCTCTGCTCTCTTTTCCTCTCCACTCCTCTCCATTCTCATACTGTCGCCTCCAATTCCCTCCCCTATCTATTTCCCTACGCGCACGTTGCATGCAATGGATCAACTACTTCCACGATACGGCGGCCATCTTGGATCGCAAGGCATTACAGTAATGACGTCGTTGTTTTCCCCCCTGGCAAGATGGCCGTCGTATCGTTAAAATAGTCCATTGGTAGGAAACAACTATCCCGTCCCTAGGCCTACCAGGATGACAGGAAAAACACCTAAACCATACCAATTAAGATAACCAAGGTTAACCGGCAACATGGCGGCCATGACACTGTGACGTCATACCAAACGTACCAAAATAAAGGTTGACTAGTAGAATTTTTATCTTCACAATATATTTTCTCTCTATTCTGTATTTGACGACAAATGCTGAAATCATGCAAGACTCACCATTCTTGCTTCTTCTATTGCCCATATATTTGATATGAACATGTCCACACGAACTTCTAGAGGCGAAACTGTTATCGTAAAAAATAACGATATAAAGTTGAATTGGGATGTGGTTTAATTTGCTGCCAACCATTTAAAAATACTTTTCCCAGTTGCTTACCTCCTGTAAAAGGTCGGATCCTCTTGTCGTAATCCGTGAGAAGATCTTTGACAAGTCTTGATTTGTTCCTTGCTATTTCTCTCCAAGATGGAGTAGGACTGTCAAGAAAAGGAAAATTATTAAAAAAAAAAAAAAAAGAATTGTCTGATTTCCTGATATCGTATTTTAGTCGTTTTCAATAAATTTTCCACGTGCGTTACGTTTCTTCTTTTCAAGGTATCATAAAAGAAATAAACTATCAAAAATAAATTAAAGCAAAAAAAAACAATATAAAATAAAACATAATTATAAAACAAAGAAAGAAAAGAAAAGCAAAAGTTTGGAAAAATAATCAAACAAAATCAAACACTTTTAGAATGGAAAAACGTTAATCGAAATCATGGGTTGCCTTGCTTGATTTCCTGTAAGCAAGAATAGAAATAAAATAATTCCTTTTTTTACCGACCTGCTGTTAATTCATTTAATTTGCGGCCTGCATTTCCGCTAAGAGTTGAAGCAGTTTCATGCATGTGAGCTTTTTCCACAAATTTACAAAAACACCAAACGTAAATATTTTGGTTCGACATGTTTATTAGCTAGTCTATGAATAGATGGAAGGCTCATTATCAATCCTATTAATTTAGGAAACTCCCACAGTTTTTAATAAGAGTATTCTTAGCTCTCTATTGAGCCATAATGTAAACAAGTCTGGAATTGAAATTCAGTTTTTAAGGGAGTTACAGAAACACTAAAAGAGAGAGATTTTTATTGAAAAGTAACGAAAAACAAACTCTATCGCTGACAAAGCGATAAAGATCAATATTGGTCATAAATTTGATTTTTTTCGCTGTGTTTGCGTACGGTTTTTAGCGTGCGCCAGAATCACAAATATGTGTTTTAGAGAAGGTTTGAAAGAAAAGGGAAAAATGTGTTTACTAACATACAATATAGCTATCGTTGCTATGTAGGTCAAGTGAAAGTGCTAAGGTAATATTAATGCAAGCGTTTTTAAGAATTTATGACATAATGAAATGAATAACGACACTCTATATATTATTCTTATTCTTATTCTTATTCTTATTCTTATTCTTATTCTTATTCTTATTCTTATTCTTATTCTTATTCTTATTCTTATTCTTATTCTTATTCTT